GCTCTACAGTGTTTCGACGCCAGGCCCCGTTCCCACGTTTGACGCTCTGTCCGGGATCACCACTGCGGGACACGGTGATCCTTCAAGAGGCAGAGACGCTCCTCGTGAACGGCAACGTCACGCTGGACCAGTTCTATAACATCAGCACGCTGCAGATGCTGGAAAGCGGCTCTTCTGGTCCTAACTGGCACAACCGGATGCGCATGGAAAGTGGAGTACCCGCGGAGGGAACCGTGCCAGGTACCAGTCGGCTTGGCACCTGGGGCGCGCGCTACTACCTTACGGTGTCGCTCTTCGGACGCAAGGTCCATCCGATGCGTTGCCTTACCTTTGAGGCAAGCGAGTATCTACGGGCGCGCGGCGAGAATTCTCTCGAGCTGGAGCTGGTGTTGGCAACCACGCCGGTCTTTACGGAGAGCAAGGGAACCGCATATCGACTATTCGTGCATGGAAACGAAGAACCGAACGTTGGCGATCTGGTGGCTCAGGAAATTGGCCCGCATGTACCAAAAACTCTTGTGCAGGAGCTCGGCGCCGGCCAAACCGCAGCAATGCGAGTGACCGCCCGTCTGTTCAGCCTCATCAACTTGCGGCGCCGGCCTTGTGGGGAGGAGCCCGGCTACTCGGAGACTCAGTGTCTGAAAGAGTGTCTGTGGCGTCGTCTGGCGGCCAACATCTCCTGCCGGTTGCCGCACATGGTCGGTGCTGGGGTGTACCTGCCCGACATGAGCGGACCACTCAACCACCTGCCTCTCTGTGCGCGGCCCGTGCAGATGGAAACCGCCAGGTCGGGGAGACGCATCAGGTTTTGCAAACGCCCGTCAAACAAATGCGGAGGGCGGCGTTTGCGGCCCTGGTACAAGCCAGATGGATTAATAACACTGGAATCCAGCTCCGCCGGACCTGTGGAAAAATCCAGCTTTACTTTAAACATGACTGGAAGCCGTGACTTAGCGCCGAGCTACTCAATCGAAGCAAATACGACAGAACGCAAGTCCAAGCACTCGAACATAGCATCGAAAATCCGTCTCTTTAACCTATGCAGTTCTCCACCCAAGCTGGAAAAATTTGTTGAGAGCGAGCTTCTGACCGACATACGAGACTGCAACTGCCCACCCGCCTGTCATCAGACTCGTTATGACATGATGGAGGTCTCAGGTCACATCCCCGACGATCAGAGTCTGGTGGGGACCTGTGAGACGCGTCTCGTTCTGTCCATAGACCTGACCGCCTACGAACTCCGTGAGACCATCGCGTTCACGACTGCCACGCTGCTGGCTAACGTTGGAGGCCTGATCGGTGCACTGACAGGCATCTCCCTTTTCACGCTGACTGGAGCGGGCGAAACTTTTCTGCTTAGGCTCACCAAAAGATGGCGTTAGCGGTAAAGTAACAAGTCATCGGGCCGCACACGTGGCAAAAAATTGCCGGATGAGCAATCTGCGGGTCACGATGACCTCAACCTTCTGTAAGCATCAAGAAGTACCTAAAATATATGATGGTGCTTCAAAATAATTGGTAAATAACAATATACCTTCTTACACGGATTTTTCAGAAAATGAAAATAGCTTTTGGTCTATTGGAATTTCTCAATCAGTCGATTAGTTCTGCACCAGTAATGTCGTTAGCTGGCTATGAAATTTGCTAGGTAGAAACTAAGCAAAGATAAAAAGTCATAGATAATTTATAACAAACAAAATTCAGATGGTAGCGACGGTTCACGACTAGCGTTGCCATGTAAAAACCGCTCTTGATCGATGCTGTCAGGTCAGGATCGCTGAAAATGACGACGACGTGGGACCCCAACAGCATCGACTTGTTTATAGCAACCTGCCTTGTATTCGGCCGTTCTGGAGTACGCTTGGCGCTAACATGCCGGCTTCACAATGACTCGTGGCTAGCAAATTATGCAAACAACTCTTAATGGATGAGGTAGGCGGTCAAAAGACACTCTGAGGCAATGTGTTTGAATTCATTGGCAGTGTGTGACACGTCACCACGTCTAAAGGATATTAATCGCAGCCAAACAGGACACGTGGTGGCGGCGCATCGACATTGTGGCCTTCCCTTCGAAGGTAATTTAGCATATTAAGGTCGGTTGAATGCGGGCTGGAAAATGGTCCCATGACATAAATTGCTGTTGGCTGGCTTCAGAGGGGACATGCAGTTCGACCAGTCGTGTCTGTGGGTGTCAGACGCTCCTCATCGCCCAGTAAAACCACCGCCGCAACTAGCAAGCGGCCGAAGAAGACCTACCGCGTGTCATCACCAAGTCTGGACTCTGTGTTTCGTAATAGGATGCACTGAAGGAAGAAACGGCCATCAAATGAGAAACGGACGTGTCAACTTAATTGGAGGTTCAGAAGGAGAGGCCGACTTCGACAAACTGGCTGTGAGCTTCACGTATACCGCCAGTCCCAGACGAAACTGTCCTTGTCCAGTCAATGCGTAAATCCGTTACGATACCTTGCAATAATGCAAAACTCTAACGAACAACAACATGGTGTTCACCAAATCGCAGTCAAGCATTATTCACCGTCATGCTCAAATGATCCCAGTGATTCCACTGATACGAGGAAACGTCAGCCGACGCGGAGTTATCCGCGAGGTCCCCACATCACACCTAACGGTGTCCGTAGAGATGACCAGGGAGAGAGCGGAGGGTCAAGACAGGAACGTGGCGGCGGAGGCGGTGCCAAGTGTGGCAGAAGGCTGTTTACAGCAGGCGGTGGCGGTGCCAAGTGTGGCAGAAGGCTGTTTACAGCAGGCGGAGGCGGTGCCAAGTGTGGCAGAAGGCTGTTTACAGCAGGCGGGGGCGGTGCCAAGCGTGGCAGAAGGCTGTTTACAGCAGGCGGAGGCGGTGCCAAGTGTGGCAGAAGGCTGTTTACAGCAGCTGCTCCGCTGTTCGGCCGGACAGCGCGTTTCCTGGTGGTCGTGCTTCTCTGCCAACAACTGCACTCCCAGTATCAGGAATACCGCTCTCAGCCGGTCAGCTCTACAGTGTTTCGACGCCAGGCCCCGTTCCCACGTCTGACGCTCTGTCCGGGATCACCACTGCGGGACACAGTGATCCTTCACGAGGCAGAGACGCTCCTCGCCAACGGCAACGTCACGCTGGACCAGTTCTATAACATCAGCACAATGTTACTGCTGAACGGCGAAGCGTACAATAACTGGCCAAACTGGGTGCGCGTGGGAGGACCAGTGCCCTCAAAGGGCAACATAGCAAGTCGCAGCCGGCTCGGCAGCTGGGGCGCACGGTTCTACTTCATTTTGTCGCGGCTCGGAAACAAGGTCTACCCTATGCGATGTTTCACCTTGGAGCCAAGCGAGTATCTTCGGGCGCGCGGTAAGAGCCCTCTCCAGTTGGAAATGATTCTGGCAGCCGCGCCACCCTTCACGGAAAGCAAGGGTATCGCGTACCGACTGTTCGTGCATGGGGACGAAGAACCAAACGTCGGAGATCTGGCAGCCCAAGAGATGGGCCCGCAAGTGCCGCAAACACTTGTGCAGGAACTGGGTGTCGGCAGAGACTTATCACTGCGTCTGACCGCCCGACTGCTCAGCCTCATCAACCTGCGGCGTCGGCCCTGTCGCACAGACCCCGGCTACTCGGAGACTCAGTGTCTGAAAGAGTGTCTGTGGCGTCGTCTGGCGGCCAACATCTCCTGCCGACTGCCGCACATGGTCGGCGCCGGGGTGTACCTGCCCCACATGAGCGGACCGCTCGACCACCTGCCGCTCTGCGCGAGGCCCGTGCAGATGGAAACCGCCAGGTCGGGGAGCCCCATCAGGTTTTGTAAGCGGCAGGCCGTTGAATGCGGAAAGCGCTGTATCAAGTCATGGTACAAGCCAGGCGGTTCTCTGCCACTGGTAGAAAATAAGACATACCACCATAAATCGACCACGCTGAAAACAGTCTCAAAAATCCGTCTTTTTAACCTCTGCAGCTCTCCACCGAACCTGCAAACATTTCTCCAGAACGAACTCCTGACCAGCACGCGAGGTTGCGACTGCCCATCTGCCTGCCACCAGACCCTGTACGACATGCTGGCGTATACGGGTCACATCCAAGACGTGAACCAGACACGATCCTGTCAGACTCGCCTTGTCCTGTTCATAGCCGAAGAGCTTCGCGAGACGATCGCGTTCACGACTGCCACACTGCTGGCCAACATCGGAGGCCTGATAGGAGCACTGACGGGTGTCTCGCTCTTCACACTAACTGAAGCCGGAGAAAGTATGATATCAAGATTTACTCAGAGATGGCGTACGTGACGCACAGACAGGACATGGGGTCAGTTCTCTGAAAAATAACCCACATGGTACCGTATGACGAATCACATGGCTCCGGCTGGCCAAGCAAGTCTATTCCTCCATGTTTGACATGGATTCATACGAAGTCTCTGCTTTCTGAAATTTACAAGTTATCGCCAGCGCCTGGCGTCAGGTTACGTGCTGGTTCACATGGTCATATCAATATGTAATCCACCAGACGGTAAGGCAGGATACTGGCTCATTTCTCAGAGTGTCGACCGGTTGACGAAACCGCGGGCGAGATGCGAATTAAAAACACAACGCGGTGCATAATCCATTTCCATACATCCTGTAAATGCTTTTAGCAATCTAGGTGACTGCACGCAAAACTGCCATCATTTTACACCGGCAAATACTGGCCAAAACACGGCCAGGTTGTCAATCGTCGTCCCCTATTCTCAGGACCAGCCCCCCCCCCCCCGCATCCTTGACGAGTTACTACAATACCCTGCGTAAGTTGACAGTCGTTAGCCGGCGGAGGGCAGTTGAAAGCTCCAAAAAGCAACAACCATACTGCGCCCAGTGAAGACACCTATGTCTCTCACTGACTATGAGCTTCTTTGAACTCACATGCCGCATCATCCGTGTTATGACGTACTTGTGTTGGGGCGTGTCTAGGCATGTCAGTTGTCACTTCTATCTCAGTGTAGTTAATTGTGGGGCTCATCACATTACACATCCGATACCGCGGCGTCTGTTTATTCATCCCGGCAAAATCATGGATACAAACAACCTCCCTCACCAGAAGCCAACGTCACTTCACCTTTTTCACCGCTCCAATGTTCTTCCCGGTCTTCTTGGCGTACTTCTTTGTCGCTGACTTATCCGCTTTGGGCGACTTCGCCACATTTACCTTCTTTGCAGCCTTCTTCCCGCTACTAGCTAGACCGGATCCCTTCTTTGTCGCCTTCTGTGTAGGCTTCTTCGCCTTCGACGGCTTTTTGTTATTCCTCTGCTGTGTGTCCTGTTTGGCAGCAGCAGCATCAACTGCTGGTCCTGAGGCGTTCTGTTTCGCCTTCTGGACAGCAAGTTGGTCGAGGAACTGTGCCTCGCGAGCCGCCAGTTCCCGGTCCTCTTCGTCCGAAGAATTCTCTCCCTCGGAGTCCTCGTCGGCAGGAGGAACCTGCGCCGGGGAGGTGGTCTCTTCCTCAGGAGTCGCAGAGGGCTGGCCAGCCGGTACGGGCTTTGTCTTGCTCAGCTTGACTCGTTTATTTCCACGCTGTCCTCTAGTTTGCTGCTCCTCCACGTCCTCAACGTCCGACTCCTCCTCATCTGCGGATTTGGAGGAAGCTGAATAAAGACACAAGAGACGGCAAAGTGAACGGAACTTGCACAAGAACTTGTAACGTCAGCTGCTTCAATCACAACTAAGCTACTGGTCGTTGTCATTATTATAGATGTACGTACAGCAGCTATCAGGCTGAACGGTAGATGAAATGCAACCGCCCGAGTCACATGTTATGGTATGAACTATTGTAATGTTTTCACTGACAATACATTAATTCAATGGCAATCGTTTTTTTTTCTGTTTCGACCCCTGTATGACTAAATATAAAAAGGACGAAAAGCGTCATCGGTCTACATGCTTCTAACTAAACACTTCCCGGGGGAGGCGGCAGCATTTAAAATCCGATCGCAAGGCCAGAAATCATTACTTCATGATATGGAAGTTGGTAACAACATTTTAAATGTCATTATCCTTAGCGGTAAAGGTAGTTCTCGATTAATTACACATAACAAGTTCGAAGTGCTCTTGCCTACAATACAAAAAAGAACTACAAGAACATCAAAATCAAATTCCTTCATTGCACACCAAATCCGCACAACCTCATCTAAGACCAAAAGAAACAGCTACTCTTTACGTTCACTACCGTCTCCTTCACGCCCCATCCCCGTTCAGATACCGCCTCACCAAGCAGTACCTACTCCCAAGACCAGGTACAACCCTCTGCAAACTGCGTGGTAGGTATGTATTCTTTTTTCGACAAAAACGAGAATAATGCGAATACTATGCTATCGGTCATTCGCAAATCGTAACAGCAAGACGCGCGAGACTCCGCACCTTAGATTGGCATCATCACCGTATTCATTTTCCATCTAGTGCGGCAACAAAACCCAAAAGTTTATATTTGACCCTAAAACAAACTTATGCATTTTGTTGCCACACAAGGCGTATACTTTGTTTAGTGATCGACTCAGTCGAAGGAGTGGAGCATGGTGCATCTATTTGCAGTGAGTTCTGACCGACTGATAGCATAACCTGAGTTATTATCGGTTTTGTCGAGAAAAAAAAAAGAATACCTACCACGCAGTCTGCTGAGGGCTGTACCTTACAGTCTTCAACCATACTTATTCCCAACTCTCAACCCGTAAATAGATTCAACAGTCGTCTCTTCACTTTCCCACCGCTATGGAAGTGATGACCTCCTCCCCTGCCGTGTCCCCCACTCTCTCACCGTCGCTGAGGGGACGTTTCTGCAGCACCTCCACGTTGCCGAAGCGGTCGACAATGACCTCCGAGTCGGCACGTGCGGTGCTCAGCTCCCCGACCACCGGGGCGCGGTCACTGCCCGGCTGGCGCCGCGCAGCCGGTACCGGCACAGAGTTGGCCGGCACTGCGGGCCGATACAGAGGGCGTCAAGGACGGACAGGGGTTCCGGCGACATCCACTGAGAGCGTTAGTCAAGTAGGGTCCCTACTGACAGAATACATTTATACGTATGCAAGAATCCGAACGTTCCCCACGTCCTCATGGGTTGGTATTCTTCTGACAGCAAAAACGGGTGTCAGGGACGGGTAGTGGGGTCCGTAATAAGCATACTTTTGGCAGTAATAGCTAACTTTCCTGCTACATTCGTCATATAAGCAAATCTTTGACAATAAAAGTCAACTTTCCTGCTACCTTCGTCATACTCTTCTTCACCTAAGTCTTCAATTAAGTCTTCGCCTAAGTCACTAACGTCAGCTGCGGATCTGAGTCAGAAACACCGACCGAGGCATCTTCTCACCCCGGCTAGTAAGGTTATATTTCCTGCCCTTGGCCAACCACGCGATTTTGAGCCTTACCGTCGCTGACGAAGATGGGTATCGCCGGCGACTTTCCCAGCTTCAGGTGCAGACTGCGTATATTCCTCTGACCGCCGGGGAACTTGAGGCGGAGGATGGCGACGGCGGTCATCACGTTCTGGAGCAGCTCTTCCTCAGACTGACCACAGCGCCCCACCTACACACAGAGGAGGCCAGGACGGTTGTGATGACTAACTACAGAGATTAGTGAGAGGGCGGTGGCAGAAATTAGTGACTACGAACCATCCTACACCGAGAGGCGATCGGGAGGTACAGAAATTAGTGATTAGAGGAGGCCGGGGAGGGAGGAGTGATAGAAATTAGTGATAGAATTAGAAATTAGTAATTACGACCCGGCTAATCCGACAGACAACCCGGGCGGTACTGAGTAGTTGAGAGCGTGGTGGAGGACGCAATGAAAGGGACGGGAGGTACAAGGGGGGAGGGGTGACAGCTGGTACAGGCTGGTACAGGGGCGAGGCAGTAAAGGGACAGATAATAAAGGAGAGGGTGCATGATGGAGTAGCTAAGTCGTGGCTATACGGTTGTGTGGTACAGGGACTGGGTAGCAGGAATGGTAGAAATAGTTACAGGGTGGGGCAGAAAGATTTACCTGTTTGTTTTCAGTCCATAACTCAAAAAGTTATGAACAAATTTTGATAAAATTCTGCATGCAGCTTCCCAACTGACTCATGTATCAACATTAAGATCGTTTTTGCATTTTGTAAAATTTGTTGGTGAGCTATGGCGAAGATGACTAAGAGAGCCCAAATTGCGGCAATGAAGTAGGTTGGCCATAGCTCCTGAAGCGTTGACAAACAGCTCAGTGTTGCCGTAAAAACTGTTTGCAGTGTAATTAAATGACTTAAAAAGACAGGGTTAGTGTCGACGAATTCCATGCCAGGCAGAACAAGGGATATCTGCTTCAAAAAGCTGGTTAATATCGTGCGCAAGAAGGTGTTTCAAGTTTTAGGCGAAGCATGCGCAAACTGCCAAGGGAACTCGGTGCTTCGCCCAGAACCGCCAAGAGAATCATGAACGACGGCTTGGGCTTCATGTCATAAAGGGTGCAACATCGGCACCTAATTTCGCCGGCATCCAGGGAAAAGCGGCTACACACGACCCAAAAGACATTAGAGGAGATCAGGAGCACCGGTAACAAGGCATTCTTCTGGTCCAATGACAACATGCTCATGCTTGAGCCCCGCAGACACTTCCAAAGCGTCAGAATTTTGGCAGATGGTCCATCCAGCATTGATCCTGCTATTCGCACCATTTTTCGTCGCCAGAAGCCTGCTGGTGTCTTGGTTTGGGCTGCCGTCGCATCCGACGGCTCAAAAGGAACCTTGATCTTCATCAAGGAGGCTGTGAAAGTTAATTTACAGGTTTAAGTCCATCTGCTGGAGGAACATGTTTTGCCTTAGGTCACTCAGTCGTTCCGAGACGGATACGTCTTCGTCCAGGACGGTGCCCCGCCGCAAACGGCCAACATCGCTCAACCGTGATGGAAGACCCACATGCCTGGGTTCTGGGACAAAGACATTCGGCCATCATCAAGTCCAGACCTGAACCCGATGGACTTCGCAATCTGGACCATCTTGTAGAGGAGGGTGTGTGCAGCGGCAGACAGCAGAATCGCCGCCCTGAAGCTGGCCTTCGAGACGGCACCGTCGAATCTTGGCGGGGACACCGTGCGGCGCTCGAGCCCCTCCGCAGAGGAACGTTTCGAGGCAGTGGTGAAGGACAAAGGTGACCATATTGAGTCATAATGCCGTTGCTGAGATGTGTACATGTTACTGCATATATGTGCCAGAAATCAATTTGATATCTTTGTTCAGGGCCGAAATATTTAAGAAAATCAAGAGGTAAATCTTTCTGCCCCAACCTGTAGATGTTGCCGAAGCGTCATTATTCTTTTCCTCAGGCTAATAAATATCTAAAAAGTTAATTGTTTTCAAAACCAGTGAACAAGGCTGATCAATAAAGCCGAAATATTTGGTTATAATATTTAGTTTTCCTCAGCGAAGCCCGTTTTGAAAACAATTAACTTTTTAGAAATAGTTAGGATAGGATAGGGTAGGGTCGTACCATGGTACACTTCTTACGGCAAAGTTTTCCCACTAATAAACATATGTGGCCCACACATTCCCGGCGCCCACTCGGCATAGATGGCGTGACGAGCGGCTGACTACAATCTCACAGTCTTTTCAATCAGTGTAGGCTCAACATCTCCATTCTATACAAACTATTCCCTTGCTCTCACCTGTACAGAGCTGCAATCTCCGCTGTTGTGGATGTGCAGATAGGCAGCGCCCAGCACAGAGTCGATCTCTTTCACCAGATCTTTTGCCTCCATGTTCACAGACAACGGCTGTCTGTTAAAGCCGAGAGAGGAGAGCACTTGTCATGAGGTGTCGCTCAGTGAAGCTGCGTGCCGAAGGTTAGGTGGAGAACAAACATGTGACACTGCCAAGAGAGGTTCCGTGCCTAGGGATCAAAATCAAATACATGACATCGATGTCAGGTAGCTTGCAAGCTGAGGGTGATCAGACCAGAAAAACGTGATAGGCGTTTATGGGATCACACAACACGTAAAATTGCTCACTGAAGCTTGTCATCAAGGCAGTAGCATAAACGCATTTAAAACTTATAAAAAAACGGACCCAGTTATTACACGATAAAGCGGCTGGTACCTAGATAGCGCCACCTGGAGGCAGCTGGTACAAACGCTCCATGGTGTCCAGCAGAACAAGCACACACAGTTCAGCATCACATGACCATTTACACAAAGTGCCACCCGCAGACATGCTTTTTCATGGCATTAAAATATACCCATTTGTGTGAAGTGGCCAACTCACTTTTTCTTTGTGATGAAGTGTTTTCCGAGAAGCGTGGGCAGCAGTCGCGTGACGCGTACGTCCGATAGGAAAACGTCGTACGAGTCGCAGAGCTTACGACGGGCCTCGTACATGTTATACTCGGCCTTCAGCTGTCGGAGAGGTATCACCTGAGAACGGGAGTCGGGAAGGCGGCAGTCAGATGGATGGTCAGGTCAGATAAGGGGAGGACAAGTCAGCTGGTCAGGGAGGCAGAGCAGCTGGTTCTTGGCAGGTAGAGGGGTCAATCCAGCCGGCAGGCTACTTCAGTTTGGCCAAATCGGTTAAATCGGTATCAGACTATCAGTGATATCAGCAGGCTGGCGGGGTCAAGTAACCACAGGTTGGAAGGTAAGCTCAGCTTGCCATGTGTAGAATATGAAAAAAGCTATACAAATCTGAAGATTTCTGTCAGTCGCATTTACACAGTGACCTCATCCTAACTAGGCACCGAAACCACACCCCGTCACTCGCAAATGCCATAAAAAACACGAACTGTACCTCCTCTCATTACCCAGTGGCATACCTCAGTGACCCCTCCCTCTCTTTCTTCCCCCATCACCTCTGTAATACGAGTGACGCCGGCCTCATCCAGCACATCTTTCCAGTGTCGGACAGACTTCTCGTGGTCCACGCGGATTCCCCTCTTCAGGTCCTTGACGAAAAGACACACATCTGCTGTGTCGGTGAAGGGCGCTGGTAGTGGCCTGGAACGGGTCAGTGGGGGTGGGGGAGGTCAAGTAGCTAGCACAGGCCTGCAGGGAGGTGGGAAAATGGTGTCAAGGGGCTGACACTGCTCAGTCGACTTGGGGGGGGGGGGGGGGCTGTAATTTGCCAATGCCTTTTGCGATGTGCACCTGCAAGCAGCTGCACTGTCAGGTGTTCCACTCCCAACTCATCTTACCACTATTGCTGTGGCGCTCAGATCCCCACCAATTTCACTAACACTGTCTTTGATGAACCTTCCAGGCGGTGTGGAAGGAGGGGCATTTGAGAGAAATTTGAAATCGATACCTCTTTTATTGCCAAGTTATAGCGAAAAAAAAACTGTTCAAAATTGATGACGTCAAATTTTCAAACTCAATTTATAGCGATTCTAGACTACATAGCGTAAAACAAAGACCACCCTTAGACTCGCCGTGACGAGCTCCATCGAATCAATACCCATTTTATGCAAAACTATCAACTTTGAAATTTGACCTTTTTTGACCTAACGTTTTTTTATTATAAATTCAACTCGAATGTTTGAATAGACGGAGCCCACGCTAAGCAGAGCTTGTTGCGTAGACCCCGACCCCTACCGTCCCAGCGTGCAATTCCGGGTATCGGGAGAATTTAGATGCCAAAGTTTAACGTGCCCTTCAAAGCCGGACACGGCCTGTCCCACTCAACTGACTTCAACTGGCTGCGGCTGCTCCCACCAACCACAGACCATCCCCGTCAGGAGTCTCAAATATCGAGCGCCGGAACGTCTCGAACCCGGGCCCTCACTACCGGGAGTCCAATGCTCTACCAAACCAACTGAGCTACGAGACAGGCTACCGGCTACGGGACATTGACCTGACCTCCACCAGAAAGTGACCCAAATCATACCAAATGGTCTTATAACTAGCACCATTGAGCTGTAAATGAAAAATTGGCCATAAAACATGCATCTCACAACCCTAGCAAAGTTGGGTTCAAAAGCTGACCCTTGGTGACCTGACCTGTTATTATCAGTGACCTCCAATAGCAACATATGTACTAGCCTACTATAGTCTGTTTTTCGTATCTTCTACCTTCACTCAAAGACGGTAAACTCTCTAATCACGTGCTCCAGCGAACATCTAATTAAATCAACACCGGTGCAAAGTCAATTTTTATCTCGAACGCAAGATCGAACGTCTGTCCCCTTGGTCCCCTTGGCCTATCCCGTTAATCAAAATGCGATGTTCTTTGTCAAGTGAAATGCAGTTGCATAAAAAACGTTACATCATATTTTAATTCTGGCAAAATTATCCCTTTCTAATTTCATTATGTTTTCAAACAACAGAAGGGCAATGGCCTTGGTCTCAGACAAGACAAAATGATCGTAACGTTTTCTTTCAACGTTTCAAAGCAAAAGAAATGTGGGTTAGGTGACTGAAATAAGGCGGTGAAGAAGGTGCACAACCAACGAATATCGCCAGAATAAAGAACTTACTTCCTTGGATACCAGAAAGAAAAGTGTTGAAGGCGCGGAGAAACACCGTCGGTGGTGGCACAGCTCAACTCCGTCATGCTTTCAGCGCAATATAATACGAAAAATGCATACGTGGGTGTTATTGTTGTTATTACCTGCATTTGTGTATCATAATATAAGCCCTAAGGCGTTGGTGATTGCCAGCGGTCACTCAAAAGGTCATGTTAGATGATAAAGATCACCAGCAGCTTTCGACAATACCTAATAGCTGCTAGAACTAAAGATGTTTCGACGGCGCTGTAGTTCAATCGGTTGACAAGGTTTGGTAAGATTTGTCCAAACATGTTGAGCTCGGGAGTTTTTTTTAAATTAATGACCTTCAGCGGCCTTCACTATTGACCTCAGTAAAATGCGGTATATACCTACTATATACGTATACTGCTGAAAGTAATTGTTGAGAGCTATCGATTCTTGCCCGTGTCTTCGCACCTTTCTTACTTTTCGGGATGATCGCGTGAGGCAGATAGGAAAATAATAAGATGAAGCAAATCTGCCTGGGGACCCCCCAAGCGGGCGTGGGCTAAGATAATTTTGTTATTCGTCGGTGTAAAAGTTATCGCAACGTAAATAAAGCAAAACATAAATTAAGCATTTGAAAAAATATAGGTAACACATTTAGTTTCTTTTACCCCATGACAAGGAAGTGCTAGCTTTAAACTATTCTTTAAATGTTCTCAGCAAAACGTCCTTGAGTATAGGTCGGTAGTCGGTACCAATAAACCGTGGTAACGATAATACAAGCGATACTCTAGCTTAAAGGTTTCTTTTCCGATTTGAACTGCGCAGCGAAGGCGAACTCCAACACGAGCAACAAACTCCTGCAATGAGTGGTGGGCCATGCGGCAAAGATTTGAAAACTATACCCTAAAAACGTGCTGGAGGAACAAAGCATCTTTGAGTGAAGGTAGAAGATACGAAAAACAGACTATAGGCAACTTACGCCGTATCACCGATTTTTGACAAAATGTGTTTTACTCGAATCGGATGTTGTAGCGCATTCCATAGAAGACCCCCCTGAATGGCAAAACATTTTATTTTTGGCCTGACCTGTGACGTCATCGGTGACCCCAAGATCAATGAAATTGGAGTTCCCTCAACAAATTTGACAGGGCTATCAAACGCCGTTTGAATTTTACAGATCTGTCCAGTAGTTTCGAAGATACGCGGGGGGAGCAAAAAAAAATGCTTCCCACCATGCGGAAGGTGGCCGGGAGGCCTACCGCCTGCCGGGTTAAGACTGACCAGTGATGCATGTATGTGGGTCATTTCGGAACATGCTGGGGCTTGTGGGTTCAAGCATGCCTGAATGAGTGTGCATGTGTATTATGCATCTGAGTCTGACATCTCCATCATATCATTTTTATCCATTGTCCATTGTTAACTCAAACCCAAGAATAGTCAAATGGTATGGTCTGGATTAGTTTCAGTCTTTCAGTGTGTACAGCACAAGGACTTAAACATGTCAGCAGTATACAATATAGGTAATACAATCATCATAAAGGGAAAGCTACTGACTTACTACCAGAGGGGTGTTCACGGGCACCGCACACTGCTGCGTGCGGTGCGTCCAGCAGGTGAGGGGGTAGGGGATAGGTAGGCGGTTCTGACGTCATGGCTGCGTGCGGTGGAAGGTCCGCTGTGGCCCGTCCCAACCGGCCACAGCGATCGATGTGTGTGGTGACGGAAGGCTGACGTAGGGACGCAGTGGGAGGAGCTTCGCGGCTGTGTGCGGTCCGACTGCACAAAGGGCCCGTGAAAAGCCCTCAGGCTGAAAAGCACCTACCTAATAAATTAAACAAACAAATATGACACTCACAGTTTGATCGTCTGTTTGACTCGTCCTGGTGCCACCTTGATTGCTGAAATCTGCAGCATGACCTTCATGTCCTCATGGTTAAGAAGTTCCTCTTTCTTCAGCTTTTTCTTACACAGAAGCAGTGCTTTAATGCCCGCTTTCACCTGGCAAATAGGGAACAAGGATAGGCAGTAGTTTGGGGCTACTCCTATACCCCTTGTTAGACAAATATTTGAGTCATCAAAAACAGTGACTGAACACACCCTGGCCAATGTGGGATGGTGCAGACTTGTCAACCTGAAAAGCTTTGGTGCGGAAAGTTGACTCCGCTGCCATGCTTCAGTTAGGGTACAGACGACCTTGGCATCAAATTAAAGTTAGGCAGGCATTAAATCGGGGATAAGAAAACGCAGGAGGTATAGCTACTTCACATAAGATCACTCAAGCTAATACAAATCTTTAAGAACTCCTCTAACGTGATGGCAATAGCTCACCTGTTCCTCCATATTGCTGTTGCCCATCGTCGAACAAAATTATAAACGTTCTTGAAATCCTCTTTCAGGAACCAATGATAAGGTGGTCTATTGCTGAAATAGTGCCTAAAATTTACAAATACAGACGATACCCACAACACAAGTCAAATCAAAATGCAACACAAATGCTATCAAAAACACGTGTACAGCATGCGACTTTCCTGTGTTCATGTGCGCCTGCTTATCCCGCTCCTGTTGATGATGCACCAAATCCAGCATGTGTCAAAATATTGCGTGAGCAGAAAAAGTACTTGAGTAGAATTGTGAACACGACATTACGACATAGTGATTGTAAATGGTGCGCTGTTTTTGGCTCAACATAGGAAAGAAACTGCAACTAAATGTTTTTATTATCGATTCGTTGGTATAAGTAGGTGATTGTTATTTATGTTTCACAGCAATAAGCCAAAGCAAGGTAAAAAATGTGTCAATTGTACACTTAATATTTCTTCGTTTTAATGATCTCGCATGCAAGGCAAATTACTTTGTGGTATATGACAATGTATAAGATTGACGATAACGAAATAAATGTCAGCACCGCGTGGGCCCCTGACCTTGCATGAAATTTTGAAGTCTTCCGAGTTCCTTGTGGCCTAATGGATTGGGCGTTCGTCTCGTGCCTAACCCAGTGGCAGCGACTCGCGAGGTCGCGGCTGGAGGATCTAACGTCATTTGGCTCTCGTTTCTACATATTCAGCCAGCTGGCAACATAGACGGCGGAACGGGGAGGACACCTGGACACCGTGCCCCCTTTGATTTTGGCATTGAACATTAGCCCTATTGGCGTTGCATGGAAAGAAATGGGACCAAAAGTCGGCAGTGTTGTCGTGCTGCGCTGTGGGTAGCGCGTGGCTGGACGGACGGTCTGTGACAATCTATTGATCTGTGGCTGATCTATTAGAGTGTCCGTCCGAGAGCCGTACGACGGCTGACAGAGCCTGGGGGTCGCGAACTGGTGTGGTAACCGTTACGCCCACCTGGGGACGCCCGAGTCGGTACGGCACTTGCGGTGTCGTAACCGGATCGGCGGGAACCAGCAGAACGCTGTTGGACCGGCGGTGAAAGTCGGAACCGAGCACTCGCCCACCAGTGGGCGTCTGGTCGAGCAGGTCTACCCGCTAAGGCAGCCTGAGCACGAACCAGTGGCAGGGTCCGATCAATGACCGTGGTCCGACCAGGGTGTCAGCGCAATGGCCAGTCAGAGGCGTCTTTAAGGGCGCAGAAGCCCACCTCGGTCGACTGTGGCCGGTGCAACCTAGTCAGGTCGTTTGTGTGAATCTCCGTGTTCTTCCCTCGCCTCAGAGTAGCCGCTCTTCTCCAAATGCCCGAGCCGTTTTCTATGTGTATTTGTCTTGTAGCGAACAGCAGAGTCGAGAAACGAATTGACAATGTCGCCGAAAGCCGCGGTCATATGCTGGCCGTCCCTAGTACTACCAATATGCCCGCAGGCGCGGCGAGAGACAAGCTCAACGTATGAGTCACCGTCCGGCTGCCGGGAGAGCCCCTACCGCGACCTTTGTCCACAGTCATGACGTCACGACAATGGGCTCCTAAACGTACGGGCAGCGGCCGCCTCAGGGGTGCCGCCGTGACCTTTGCACGACACGTTCTATAGCGTATGGCACAGCGGTTACTAGGAAGGTTGAGGCCAGCGGCAGGCCGGTTTACAAATAACAAACATGACGCGCAATTGACAACAGGTAACAGATTGATTAATAAGGCGGTGACAATATAAATAAAAATGACAACATGAAATGACAAATCGCATAGATGACAAATCGCATAGATGACAAATCGCATAGATGATCCCTACAGTGTCCCCCCCTTAAAGGGACCCTCCCACCTTCAAAAAAGTTAATGAATTGGCACGAAAGTGATGTCGCTTGGTTCAGAAAGAGCGAAAACGAATATCTACCAAATTTCATTGAAAAATATTCACCGGTTTTCAAGATATTAGACTTTTACTTTTGTTTACTTTTTGGGATCTCCGCTGTTCCTAGCGACTTTATTTGAAAGTGCGGCATTTGTTGCGCGCAAAGCAGCATATACCACCGCGTGCTACCAAACGTTTTAGTAAAAGATTTAAAAATCATTAGATCTCCGCTGACGTCACAAATTCTAAGGGGGCATACCAATGCACTAGCCCCTTAGAATCCGAAAACTGCAAGTTTGAAATTCCATATCTCCGAATTAAAGCATTTGTCGATGTTGTGAGTGCCCAAACCGGTATTTGCAGGCCATGGCCACCAATTTGGCTATCTCAACTCAAAACTAATGTTAAGGTGGGAGTGTCCCTTTAATTGAAGGTGTTCCGCCGCTACTGGCTGGCAATTGGCGATATGCTAGACCTAGGCCTGGCCTGGCCATACGCATAGCCCGCTAGACCTGGGAGGACCGTTTCGCCCTCTATACCTATACATGCGGCGCGGTGCGTCAAACTTTTGAAAAATTATCACCAGTGAACCGGTCGTGGTCATGGTCGGTTGAAGGACAGAGAAATCCTCCGTGGCTCCACGAGCAACCAACACTGCCTAGCGAAGCACCAGAGCCCATAACTAATTTAGACTTAGGTAATTTATATATAAAAACTGCTAATCTCAAGATGTCTCCAGCGTAAGAACATCGATTTAAGAACACAAAATTACTTGGTCGATATCTGAAATGAATAGTTAAACATCGCAGCTCTCGTCTCACTCTGACCAAGGTAGCCGGCCATATTCACAGTAGGTAAATAAGAAGTAGGTAGGTACCTGATACCAACAAATTAAGTCAGCGTTTAGGTCACCTAACCGTGACGGTGACTATATATAGTATATAGAACGAATGACTAATGAGAGCAATTAATTTAATTTAAAGTTCTAATTCCGTTTCATCTTATTCCGTTCTGATATGATTTGTGTCAGAATTCATGTTAGAAAGCTGCCACACCATAACTTTTACGTTATTGAAATATAGACAATACCCGGACTCCGCATTACGTAGGTACAGTGACGTGGTCCATTGTCAGTCATCTATCTATCTGTGCGCGTGATTATCCATCAGTCAATTGAGTTTCTTCTTCTTAGTTCAACTGAACGTCTACTCAAAGCATAAGTACGCGCACATACGTATGCATAGGATAAGTGTACTGTACATATTCAACCAAGGCAATAACTAATTGCTCATGATATTTACACACTGGGCAATATTACACTCACGTATGAAGAATGGATTTATACACCAGTAAGTGGTAATTTTCAATCAACCGTCAACCACTTACCTATGTAAGTAGCTGCATAGCGCATACATACAGTATACAGTTTACAGCCAATAAGTGCAGCGGACACATTTGCATTTTGCAATGTGCATTTGTTAAAAAAAAATCACATATTGATAGACTCACCCAAGGCTATATAAACTGACCACAAACATAATGGGAGAATCAGAACACTTCGTGATATGGCACAGTGTCACTGAGGGTCATATTGAAATCAAACGTATTTACCTCAATATCGGTCACATAGGCATGATCGTCGACTAAACGACGTCACAATTTTCGGATCGATGTGAAAATGACATGAATGCATCAGTCAGTAAACGGTACAAAGGCAATGCGTTGGTTCAAAACATGCAATGCATCTGTATGCATTACTCATTTCACCATCGTCGCTTATTTTAGCAACCTCCTCAGTCGAACAACGTCGAACAAATAATCGGACAGTACCAAAATGAGACCGAATTGAGTAATCATCGATCACTTTATCTTTCCATCGGACGCCAGAATTACACTTATCTACGCCATGTCGACGTGCACCGCACACGATTTACATTTGTGTTAAGTCGAGGACGGAAAATGCCATTTCTCGAAATACCCTCATAATGCCCGCCTTGGCAGTCGACACCGCTTACCGTCTTCGTAAAAGCACCGAGTAAACCAAAATAGTGACTGGTGAGACATTAGCTGACATCAAATCTCGCGACAAGCATGTAAGTCATGCCAGTCTCTCTCGCAATGCCCAAGGCCACTTTTCTGGATCCACCAGTGTCTAGTTCTACACGTGAAAGATTTCGAGACCCTGAGTAATTTCTGCCAGCTGAGAAATTACTGACGATCCCACCGCCGTTGTAATGAGCTGACGGCAGAGAGGACAGCTGTCTGGGAGTACCGCAGATCGTCGGTTCGACTCGATACAGTCCCCGCAGAACGTGTGACCGCAGCCGAGTGTCACCGGTGCCGTGAACACTCCCAGACAGATGCTGCACTCGAGACACTCGCGCTGCCGGGCCACTCCTGCGCAGAGGTTCTCCAGACGGGCGCGGCACGAGTCGAGGGCCTGCTGCTGCTCTTCCAGCTGGTGCTGAGTGCTGACCTCCATCAGCAGCAGCTGCTCGTGCTGTTCGCGGCTGGTCACAGTGACCTGCTCCAGCTGAGAGGTCAGCAGCTCGACCTGTACTCGCTGCTGACCGATCGTCATCTGATCGTCGCCGTGCCGACTTTCCAGCAATTCAATACGGGTAGACATGTTGGATATCTTATCGGAGTAGCGTTTGCCAAGGGTTTCTAGTATAGAATGCAGTGATGCTCTCTCCAGTTCGTCTTTTTTAAGACGGGCTTCTAGCGCAGATGTTTCAGCGACAAGCTTTTGGACTTGATTTGCGTATTGATCGTTAGCATCGAGAAGGCTCTTTACTATTTCCATACTATCTGAGTAATCATTTCTGAGTTTCTCAAACTGCTTGTCTCCAGCCATGTCACTGCCGTGCCCTTTGGAATGTACTTCTTCTGGAGCATCACGATCTGGGGCTAAACAGCCTTGCCTTTGTGTTTTTGTTTCGCACTCGTTCACGTTCCTTTCGACTGAGTGGTCGGAGGCTTTTGGGCTTGATTCGTCAAGTTCAGATTCAGTTTTCTTCCCAATTCCTAATAAAGCATCCAATGCGTCCAAATCCTTGTTGATAGAATCGCGGACGAGGTCAGCTTTAGTTTTCTGCGGGCGTTCCTTCGGCCTGGCTCCCCCACTCGGTGTGGACTGTGCACGAAGACCTCCTTCGCCTTGGTTGTCCAGGTTCGGCGCATTTTCTTGATAACTACCGTGCCATACGCCCGAGTTCCCATGGATTTCCTGAGTGTCACTTTCTGCGTCCCTGCGTCGGCGGTCGGCTCGTCTCTGATGCGCCGTTATTTGACTATTGTAAGGTGACAATCTGGCTCCGTGTAGAGAAGTAGCTGTAAAAAATTAAAAGTGGAAATTAAATCAAACCTTATGTTAAATCCCAGATCCCATACAAATCACTTATGCAATATACACATGCCACTGTATTTTGTAGAACTTTTTAGGGTATCTTATTCTTCTATCTTTTCTACCTTCTCACAATTGTCTATTAAAATCAGGCGTAGCACCGTTTAGGATATTGTGGAATATTTAAATCTAAAAAATGACCACCCACTGTTCAGCACGAAACTGTGTTCGCAAATTAGCTTACCTCTGGTCTTGAAGAGAACGTTCGGGTTACGCTGAAGGTGTGCTAGCTCCTCCCCAACAGAATCCTCGGGCAGAAAAATTGTCTGAAAGTCAAGGATAATAAAGCCGTCAGTTGAAGGCACTGCTGGTTTAACCCGCGCCCTGCTGGGGGGGGTGTTTGAACACCCCCCCCCCCCCTGTGGTTTTTCGCGAATATCTCAAAAACGGCGGCGCGGAGCGCCGCCGTTTTTGGTACACCTTATCATACATCAATTCTACAAATGTTGTGAAAATTTCAGACCAAGGTCATTCAAGGTCAGGTCACCAGGTCACTTGAAGTGACCTCACCTCATAAAAAGTTTCAATGTCTGTCATAGTTACACCGAGTGACCGATCGCTTTGAAACTTTCAGCGATTGCTAAGAGCAATAGCATGTACAAAATGTATATCTCAGAATTTTGATATCGATGACCTAAGGTCAGGTCAATTTTGCGACCTCCCCATTATAAGTCAATGGGAGAAAATTGAAATGCGCCTGTTTTGGACGAAAGACATTATAAACACTCCCAAACACCGAATTACAAGTGGTTTAGACACACTGAACATGAAAATGGTGTCCGTGACCCTTGTTTATGCCCTGAGGTCATCTTAGGTCACGAATGGTATCTAACAGTTTTTCGCAAATAACTTTTGATAGAGGCATGCTAGAGCGATGAAAACGCCTTAGATGTGTTCAGCTAGACGATACGGATCGACTGATATGCAACATGACCCTTTCCGGTCAGGTCATGACCTTGACCTAAGGTCAAATTTTCAAGTTGACCTTTCAAGGTCAAATTATAGCTCATTCGATGCGTCTTGACGAGAGGAACACGATGCCGGTAAAAGTAAGCTCGTACAAGGCTTGGGTCAAAAGTTATTGCAGAAAAACTGTTTCCGAAAAAATCCGTTATTTTTGCAGTTTTTGCCCCCTGCAGGCAAAACCGTTGACGGTAGGTCAAATCTGAGAGAATTACTCAGAAAGGGCGTTAATAGGGCTATCGAATGCGCTTTTCCGCGGCGCTGTAGCTCTATTGGTTCCCGAGTTATGCGTTGGCTTCTTGGAAATTTTCGACATTCGACCTGGAAATCGGCGAAATTTTGCCTTCAATGACCTCTGGTGACCTGACCTTTGACCTGACCAAAAAATTGACCGAAGTGATTTCGTCATTATTTTTGACGCTCTTTCGAACGCCGCCTTCCGCGTATCGCTACGTGGCCCAGGAGCCGAGTTACAAGGGGGGGTGTTCAAACACCCCCCCCCCCCCAGCAGGGCGTGGAAATCCAGGACCCCCAGCCGGGCGCGGGTTAATAAACTCAAGTTCATATTCAACGAAAAGTTTCGTCGTGCTGGTCATTTGTACAGGGTGAGCCATAAAGATTTACCCAAGATTACTTTACTACTCGATTTACCCATCGAAAATTTAGCTTCGTTTCAAGGCGCGCTAACAAACATAGCTATGTGATTCATCTTTTACATACATATAACAACGTCATCTCCTAACTAATAAATGTAGTCTGTTTTCTGTATGCTTACATTCTTCTTATGTTACGCGCCCGAGACGCAAGAGCACTATGGCACGCGGCTGCCGCACCGTCTTTTCACTTATTTTCCTCGATCACCCATGCTATAACAATGCTGCGCCGTATGTCATTTGCGGTGTTTCAGGGATTCGGTAGAGTCGGGTTTTCAGGATATTTCAGTTTGCGAAGCCCGTGGGGCTGAAGTCGGGGATAAATTGTGCCCAGCATTCTTTAGACCAAGGAGTGTTCAGCAGCCAACACCCAGTGGTGATTCCTGAATTTCAGGAGCGGCGGATGTGCGTTAACCCGCGCCCCACTGGGGGGGGGGCTATTTATAGCCCCCCTCCCGTTTTTCTGCAATAACTTCCAAACCGCTTGACGTATCGACGCCAAACTTTCAGTACCTTCGGCTGCATCAATTTGACACCTTATGTCAAAATTTGAACTTCGTACCTACCATAGGTCGGCCGGAAATGACGTCAGAGTGACGTCATGTTCGGCCGATTTCGACGCAAAACATTGAACCACGGCAATCGCTCCCAAGAGCTCAGTTTTTAAGCTAGATCCAATTTCTTTGCATGAGAGGACTCAGAATAGACTGCGCTATCAAACTGCTATCTCGGATTTTCGAAATTTTGAAAATTTCGAAAATTTTAAATAATAAAATTCAAAATTTATATTTTTACAATTTTTTCAAAAAGTTTTTGACTTTTCGAAAAAACCGGAATATATGTGATAGAACGCATTATTATGACTACCTCTAGCAAGTTTTAGCTAAATATCTTCAAAAATGGCCAAGTTATACGCATTATTGCAAAAAATTAATTATTATTAATTTTTCAAATCAATTTTTCAGCACAAATTTGACATCGTACGCCAATATAAATAGCACCATCGTGTTCCTGAGCTCAAAATGCATCGAATAGACACCTTTTTTGTTGAAAAATTTTAACTTCAAAATTTGACCTTTTTTGACCTGAAAGTGACCTGACCTAAGCTAAATTTGACTCAAAATGACCTCGCATGACACAGTCGACATCAAATTCGAAATGTTTGGCCTAAATGGACCATAAAACATGTTTCACGTGACCGACGGATGATATAATATTTTCGTGACCTGTGATGACCTGACCTTGACCTGAAAATCAAAGTACAAGTTTGGTACCCTCAGAGTATCTAGAGCATCTGTTCACGAGTGTGTGAACCAAAAATGAGCCTGATCTGACTTGTAAGACGGCGGCCAGAGCCCAAAACGTGAAGAAGCCAAAATGCTAATAATTTTAGCTTTGACCTGACCTGTGATGTCATCAGTGACCTCGAGGTCAATAAAATTAGGTTTCGCTCGACAGTTTTTCCGGGGCTATCAGACGCCGTTTGAATTTTGACGATCGGCCCAGTAGTTTCGGAGTTAGGAGGGGGGGGCTATGAATAGCCCCCCCCCCCCCCCCCAGTAGGGCGTGTTATACGCAGACCCCAGTGGGGCGCGGGTTAAGACGACCTCGCATTTCAGGAGCGTAGCAGAGACAGTGGACGAGCATATACAAAATGAGCTACACTGTCAGGATTGGAGACAAATTTGCGACATATATGCAAAAGATGGCATACCTACGCCAACCCGTTTGGAAATAAAGTGAATTTATCGATGGGTAAATCTTTATGGCTCACCCTGTATGTAGGTACTCCAGCACGTGTTGCATAGATAGGTAGTTGTGGCATAGCTACTAAGGATTTATAATACCTAATCAACGTGAGAATGCATGGCGTATTCCATCAAAGGGACCCTCCCACCTTCAAAAAAGTTTATGAATTGGCATGAAAGTGATGTTGCTCGGTAACAGCCTACAGGCGTTTGTGTGCATTGCGGGACAGTCTAATTTCAGGCGCGGGAGTCTCGTATCAGGCGTCTGCAACTTGTAAGCATTGCGGAACAGTCTAGTATTAGGCGTTTGTAGGTATTGCGGGACAGTCTAATAACAGGCGTTTGTGTGCATTGCGGGACAGTCTAATTTCAGGCGCTTGTATGGCAGTGCGGGAGTCTAATATCAGGCGTCTGTAAGCATTTCGGAACAGTCTAACATCAGGCGTTTGTATGTATTGTGGGACAGTCTAATACCAGACGTTTGTAGGTGTTGAGGAACCAGTCTAACACCAGGCGTTTGTACGCATAGCGGGAGACGGGACAAACTAATATCGGATGTTTGCACTGTGGAACAGTCTATAATTATCTATCCCCAGTCGCCGTGTAAACTTGCATTGGCCGAAACTAAAACTACTTGCTCTAGTCGACTGTCGATTGGCGGTGATGTGCTTACAAATAAAGGTATAATGACTTCGCTGTCTATCCTGTCTCGCTCGTTTATTACACTAGGTGACTTGAACAAACTCGCACCATTCAAAAGTACGAACATATCCTACCTCATAATTGGAGACACCAGCCGCAGGCATGTATAACGATGACGTCAGACTGTACGGTGACAGTGGTGACGTCATATACGGGTCGAATGGTGGTGTGCCAACATCGCCAGCGCCGTCCTCCAGACTGAATTTCTGTGAACAAAGTCGAGCAAGTTACTTCAGGGGCATTCCACGTCAAATCGAACAAAAATCGGCTGTTTTGCACCTTACCATCAGCGATTTCATTATAAATTTGTGAGCGAGTTCCTGTGTGGCCCCGGACATTACATTGATGTTTTTTGCACATTCTGACCACAGGTCTTCTAAATAAAGGGCATCAAATTTTTACAAAATGTTGCATCTTTATATTTTTGAACGACCATAACTTTGGTTGTACTTGTTTGATTTGAATGAAATAAACCTTACTGTTTAGGTAATTTCTTAAGCATTTGTTTAGAATTGCACTAACTTAAATATATGACCTTGAAATTTGCTTAACTCTGTTCTTAAGCACAAATATTGAAATAGCAAAAAACACGTCACCTTCGATTTGGCTCATTTTCATATATTTTATTGCCTACTATATTCTTAACAACCTGTGAAAAAATTAGAGTGGGCTATTCATAAGTTTTGAAGAAAATTGCACATATGCAAACGTATGTTAGCACGCGCAGTGGAGGGGGAAGAACGAATTTCGCCCACCCCTCCTGTTTTTCGCCAATATCTCATAAGATTAATGCGAAATTAATTATGGCTACCTGTCAAGAATTGAATTGGGCATCTCATCGTGCAAGCAATAAGAAAATCGGTTCACAACTGTTCTAGTAATAGCGGTGTAAAGTGAACATCCTGTCGCCGCAGCAACGCGGCGGCTCGGCAGCCGGCGCCGACCGCTACGCGCCGCCTGAATTGTAGACTGTGCCGGGACGGAACGGAACGGTTCCGTCTTTACATCGCGCTCCCTACCGCTGATTACGTTCGATTCGCGTCAAATTTTGTGAGAAGACTAAGAAATATACAGGCAATCTTATGGTGAAAGAATTTTGAAAATCGGTTGGTAAACAATTGAAATATGAACGTGTAAACACAAAATTGTGATTGCTGCGTTTCCCGCATCGGCCGAGCCCGCCTCAGCCGGCGACATGTTAATCTTAGCAGGCCTCTAACTGCCATATTTATTATTGGATTAACTAGAAATTCCCCATACATACTAAAAAATGTATGTTCTTTCGTATAGTGGAGATCAAAAGACGTGAAAATATCGTAGCGTGATAATGTTTTCGTTGAATTTACTTCATGATGCATTTCCACACGGCTCAAAATTCACCGCAAAATACCGTTTGCCTGAGACACTTTTTCTATGGAACGTGAATGCTTGACTACGATGACTATGCATTTCCATTCTCGCAGAGTTCGGGATATCACTAATCAGCAATCATTCATTTCAGAAAGTGTACACAAGCAAGCATGTCTTGACTCTGTCTTTCAAGGTCACGCGCGGTTGCGTGATGTTGATGCAAATGGCCCACTCCAATTTTTTCACAGATGGTTAGGAACATTGTGACGGACATAATATGTAAAAATTACCCAAATCGAAGGTGACGTGTTTTTTGCTATTTAAATTTTTCTGTTTTAATTCAAGGTCAAATGCATTTCAAGGTCACTTCAATTTAATTTTATAATTAAAAATCAAAGCCTTATCAATTGCCTATAAGACCCTGTTAATATCATTTTGATACCAGAAAAGGAACCAGAGTTATAGCCATTTAAAAAATTGATGTGTGACATTTTTCGCTATATTCGATGACCTATATCTCAGCGATACGTTATCAAATTTTGAAAATATTATACGTAACTCAGTTTTGAACCATGCCCAATCTGCCTACAAATTTTCAGAAAAATCGAAGGGGATGACGGATTTCGGTGTTTGATTTGACGTGGAATGCCCCTTCAGATATTTTCCGTGAGAGAAGTGGTCCCAAATTTCAAGCGATTTCTTTGAGAAGTTAGATATCTAATTTATGCGATAAACGAATAACGTGAAACATAACGTCAAGGTGACTCATAAAATGCCACAGTTGATAAAACAGTGAACGTTTTCCTTCGTTTTTTTTTTTAACAATATGTTCGAGACGTTTAACCCGCGCCCTGCTGGGGGGGGGGGGTGTTTGAACACCCCCCTTGTGGTTTTTCGCGAATATCTCAAAAACGGCGGCGCTCCGCGCCACCGTTTTGGGTACACCTTATCATCCATCAATTCTACACATGTTGCGAAAATTTCAGACCAAGGTCATTCAAGGTCAGGTCACCAGGTCACTTGAAGTGACCTCACCTCATAAAAAGTTTCAATGTCTGTCATAGCTACACCGAGTGACCGATCGCTTTGAAACTTTCAGCGATTGCTAAGAGCAATAGCATGTACAAAATGTATATCTCAGAATTTTGATATCGATGACCTAAGGTCAGGTCAATTTTGCGACCTCCCCATTATAAGTCAATGGGAGAAAATTGAAATGCGCCTCTTTTGGACGAAAGACATTATAAACACTCCCAAACACTGAATTACAAGTGGTTTAGACACACTGAACATGAAAATGGTGTCCGTGACCCCTGTTTATGCCCTGAGGTCATCTTAGGTCACGAATGGTATCTAACAGTTTTTCGCAAATAACTTTTGATAGAGGCATGCTAGAGCGATGAAAACGCCTTAGATATGTTCAGCTCGACGATACGGATCGACTGATATGCAACATGGCCCTTTCCGGTCAGGTCATGACCTTGACCTGAGGTCAAATTTTCAAGTTGACCTTTCAAGGTCAAGTTATGGTTCATTCGATGCGTCTTGACGAGAGGAACATGATGACGGTAAAAGTAAGCTCGTGCAAGGCTTGGGTCAAAAGTTATTGCAGAAAAACTTTCCAAAAAATCGGCTATTTTTGCAGTTTTTGCCCCCTGCAGGCAAAACCGTTAACGTTAGGTCAAATCTGAGAGAATTACTCAGAAAGGCCGTTAATAGGGCTATCAAATGCGCTTTTCCGCGGCGCTGTAGCTCTATTGGTTCCCGAGTTATGCGTTGGCATCTTGGAAATTGTCGACATTCGACCTGGAAATCGGCGAAATTTTGCCTTCAATGACCTCTGGTGACCTGACCTTTGACCTGACCAAAAAATTGACCGAAGTGATTTCGTCATTATTTTTGACGCTCTTTCGAACGCCGCCTTCCGCGTATCGCTACGTGGCCCAGGAGCCGAGTTAGAAGGGGAGGGTGTTCAGACACCCCCCCCCCCCCCCCAGCAGGGCGTGGAAATCCAGGACCCCCAGCCGGGCGCGGGTTAACTTCGTCTTGCCTTGTATTTCGTTCAGCCAGATCACCCTGAGAAGAGGGAAAATGAAACAATATGCTTGAATTTTATTACCAACAAGTCGTATATCTCGTACACGTGAGTACAGTTTGTCGCTCACCATTTTCTTGGGCGTGTCCGGCTCGCCCGACGGCAGACGTCGTTTCGTGGTGGTGCCCACTTCTTCGACACCACCCGACGACAGGGTGGTAAAGTCACCTGAGGGCAAACGTGCTTTTTAACTCATTAACGCCGAGTGGCAACTATAGTTGCCATCTACAAAAACCTACTGCTGAAGGCAAGTTAATGACGTCAGAACAGCATTTGTGGGATGCCTAACCAGCATAGTCCCTTCTCATCATGATCAGACGGTTTTAGTCACGTCCTGTGCGCAACATGCTTCACAAATCAAGAAATAGTCAGACGTTGCAGAGACGGCCGCCATATTGGCTTGACGGTCCCGAAGAAAACGACGCTGTTTTTCCAGAGTGTCCGGTATTTCCGAGCATTTTCGGCTTATTTTGATCCAGAAAGGATGTAGGCAGGCTACCAGTGTCTCAAAACTTGAAAGCACTCTACTCATTTGTAGTTATTTGTACTAGATTTGTACTTGGCAACTATAGTTGCCACTCGGCGTTGGCGTAGTCAAAAATATGAGCGGTTCATAGTTAAATAGTTGTATTTACGGATATACTGTAACGAAACATATGTTATTCAACCAGACTGTCCCCGTGTATACCTTGGGACATAGTTACATGGACTTTTGCAAATAAATTAACAATTAAGGCAGAAATTAATTAAAAAATACATGCATGTCTATACATTACCATAGTGAACCCTACCCCCATCCATTGTTTTCTTGGTCTATTCTCGACATTGTTAAATCTGTTTATGTTTATCATCTACTGAAGATATTTTTGTGGAATGGGATGCAATCTCGCTTTCTCTTTCCTCTCTCCCTCTCTCTCCCTCTCTCTCTCTCTCTCTCTCTCTCTCTCTCTCTCTCTCTCTCTCTCTCTCTCTCTCGCTCTCTTTCCCTGTTCCTCCACTGGCGGATGCAGGAAACATTACGGACATTCATAGCTCACAGAGTCCGACTTGCCCGATTTTGTTTCGTTTTCTTTGAAAAGAAAGAGAACTAAAACGGCATTTATACGATAGAGATTGCCTACGATTGCACAGTAATGCATTTATAACAAACCGAAATCCGAGAAGTTTAGGTACGAGAATTTTCAAACCCTGCTGCGTGTGATATCACCTATCACCTTTCTGGATAAACCAGAGTCGCTCTCGCTTTCTATGTCGAAGACTATGCTTTGCTGGTTTTTCCTAGCGTTCGTTAGTCGCGCCACTTGCAGTATGCATAACCAAACTCAGGCATGCTCATCTGCAGGCACCGTGCCATGATGCTAAATCGTGTGACCAGCTCGTGTTTCAATTTGGAGGGGCACGTAGGTATTAAGCCTATTTGCATCAACAAATTAAGTTTTTAGCATCGTAAAGACGCTGTATGACGTTTACAAACAGGGACCCATAAACGAAAGCTCCCCCACCTCCTCCGCTGAGCTCCCATTGACGCCGATTATGACCTTGACACAGTCGTGATACCGAATTGATTCCGATGAAGCTGCTTGCTATCTGAACTTTCACAGCAGATGCTGGTGATTCAGCTGAATGAGACGGTGGAGGCGGCTTTGTGCTTTGGGTTTCGTGCGAGGATAACAGCGCACGAAACTTTAGGTTACGATCACGTAGCTGATGTTGTCTCATGGGACTGAATGAAAATTGTGAACCAAAGGCGAGACATCGCCTGACTTGGGGCAGTGCTGATTCCTGGCACTGCCAGCTGGAAACGAGGAAATGGGGATTCAGGTGGTAGAAAATATGTGGGCCTGCTCAGTTGTCCTAAACTAGATGAAATTGAACTATATTTTTATGACACGTGGAATGTGTTCAAGTGCAAGTAGTGGTGGTCGCCTTGTACTTACACCACTTTTACTCGTCAATCAACATATCCCCCTTCTTATTCTGAAGTACAACCGCCAGTGTGTGCTCGAGTCGTGATCACGAAAGGGATCCAATTTGTCCAGACTCTCGTCCGAACAGTCTAAAAAACATTCGAAGGCGAACGGATTTACTGGTTAGGTAAGGACAGCAGAAGTACGTACGTATGCGGGAATCAGAAATATACTATACCAGTAAAACGCCTTTTGGGCGAAGAACGAGCGAGCGAGATAGTGAGCCTTGCACGTGCGGAAGGGCGAGAGGGTGCTTCCAACGGGCTTGTGCAAAGCACCCTTCTAACCGGTCGCTAGCGGTGTGCCAAATTTGAACGCAATCGGCCCAGCCGTTCCTGAGATCTGGAAGCGGCATTCTGCACGTGCGCACGTGCAAACGGGGTCCAAAATGACTTTTGCACGGCACCCTACTAACTGGTCCCCAACCGTGTACCAAATTTGAGCGCAATCGGCCCAGCCGTTCTCGAGATCTGGAAACGCCCCCTGCACGTGCGCACGTGCAGTAGCACCCTAACCGCAACACATGGGAATGCATTGCCTGGTGGGTGCCTACCTGTATGCCAAGTTTCAGCGAAATCGCCCCAGTAATTACCGAGTTACTGAAATGGGAACAAATTTGGCACCTCTTATTGTTGTATTTTGCACGTGCACTGGGGGTGACCCACATACATCGAGAGCATCCTATTTTGGGTAGAAGGGATGCTGCTGCCCTACAAAAATTACCGCAAGTCAATCGCCCAAGCGGCTGCTGAGATATGAGCCTCTCAAAATCACTACTTTTGCAAAACAGCTTGAACACCCTTGACTTTTCACGTGGCACGTGCCACCACGGTCACTGAGATGTATCAAAAGTAGTCAATTACGAGGTAGAAGGGATGGGGCTACCCAACAAAAAAGACCGCAGGCCAATCGGTCCAGCGGTTGCTGAGATATAAGCCTCTCAAAAGCGTTACAGGCCGGGCCGGGCCGGGCCGCTCATACTGAGATTTTTCCGTTATATTGAAATGACTCACTTCGCTCGCTGCGCTCGCTCGCTCGTAACAATTCCATGGCTCCGGTAGGCCTGTAATCAGCGTGCTCGCAAATAGGCATGAATAATCGAGTTGCTTTGTACCCCGAGTTTTTACAAATGTATCATACCCGGTAGAAAGTTTTGTGATAGGACGGTATACCTGCCATCAACCATGTACGAGTAAACAGGGATCTGGTGAGAACTACGTATGAGATAATATGCATTCTTTGTTGAATTGTTTTCGAGCAGATTTTATTTATGCATGTCAAGATAAATGGTTAAAAAGGACTGGTAAAGAGCATCTGCTTTGGTACAGAAAAACACTTATTGATGGATAAATGAACTGTGTTTCCTGGATACCAAGGGCTGCAGCTGCTTTGGGCACAGGCTACAGGCTTATACCATAGGGCATAGTGTAGATTCCACTACTTAGACGTAATTATCTTATTAAAAATTTATATTGAAGTGGCGTAACCACTTTTTTCTGTTTGGAAATTGGATTAAGGCTCGTGGGGGATAAGTTGGGACATAAATAGGGGAGAGCGGGGAGAGTTGTATCATGTCCAAGTTGTATCAGGGCGAATTGTGCCAAACTTATCCAATAGATTGCGCTCGTGACACGACCAGCCGACGAGTTTTTCCGGGCGCCATCTTTCCCTGTTCTGTCGTGTGGCTGGGTGGACGCGTCTCGAGGTGAGAGCCGATTTTATGTTTTTTAAATGTCATTCTAAAAAAACAAGTTGCAAGAAAATGTGTGTTTTGGGCATTGAGATGTGCACGAATTTGAAAGATCTCCGTAGCGGTAGTGAGGGTTGGTTCTAAGGCTGCGTGAGTGAAAATGGATTTCTCCAGCTGTCCGCTGTTTTTGAGCACGAGGACGTTTTTTTTTCCAAGATGACGGCGAGGTACATGTTGTATCAGAGCCGGGTGGGGTATGTTGTAACATGTATGTATGTATGTATGTATGGGTATGTTGCTTTTGATCGCCAAAGCTAAGCCCTGGCTCACGTTTGTAGGTAGCTAGTCAATACTCGTTCCATTTCGGCACAATGTGTTGGCTTCTTTGCTCTTAACGGGCCACTTTTGCGTCTAGTCTGTTGATGTTTCGTTCGTTTCGATGTTTCGTTCGGATTGACCTAAGTTTGGTCTAATAAAAGTGAAGCCTTTGAGCATATACATTGTATTAACCCCATTTAATGTTGTTGTTATGCTCAAAACCAGTAGCAAGCACACTCCCTGAAATGTGAGATAGTGATACAAATTACCCCACCATGTGATACAACTCACCCAAGCCATGGGGCAAGTTGTATCAAAAACATTGTCCTATTCGGCAGACCGTAGAAGAAAAACTGGTAGAGGTAGCGGAAAAGTTACTTGGCACAAAAAAGCAGAAGAATCAAGGAAGGAGATAGTATGGAAATAATGAGTTTATCACGGATAGTTACGAGGTTAGGGGTCTCGGAGTAAAAACTGATACAACCCACCCCACTCTCCCCTAGATTCAATGCATCCCGGCGATTAGTATTTGTTTAATGAAAAGTTACGATAGCGGCAATTTTTGACTACGCCAACGCCGAGTGGCAACTATAGTTGCCAGTCCAGAAATATATGTTAAAAATATTTTTATTTTTCAATACACCGTATGTGCATTTCTAGTGCATGTAGAAGCACAGGGCATCAAGAAAAACTGCCGAAATTTGCCCACGGAATTATCGTCGTTAATGAGTTAAGTACAAAGAAGCATCTCCGGGTATGTTTCTCCTTGGTTACAAAAACCAGCGACGCCTGCTTTACTTCTACCCGAAACTGATATTTTTTTGCCTGAACCAATTCATCTGTATCCTAGAACAATTTATGGAAATAGCTATGCCTCTGAAGTCTACCCGCGAAATACTCGCCACACGACAAAATTTGATTCTTTTGACCGCAAAACTAGCCTTCAGGTTTCGATGTCCGCAGAAAAAGGGTATGAGGGCCCCAAAGTGGCGTCTCTAGTCATCTGACCCGTCTTCCGGTCTTTTCTTTCTCTTCCTTTCCCCAGCGGACTCTTGTTTGCCGCGCAGGTGCCTCCCGACAGAGGCGCCTTCAGGTAGTGTTATTTGTTCTGCCAGTCTTCAAGCCCGCCGTTTCAGATATCTTCCACCGCCTCTGCGCCCTGGCTATTTGGACAGCCGGTCCCCCCCCCTCACCTCGCCACCGGGTCCCCTTAGACTAACCGTGGTCCCAGAGCTGTTTACTCGCGCGGTAGAGGAGCGGTGTCATTAGCGCCGGCGTCCGAACTGCGCTGCAAATGGCGTCGGTGGTAGGGGCAGTGTTTGAAAGAGAGCGTCGAAAATGTAGTAGCGTAGCGCAGAAGCGCCACATTGTGATTCACGAGCCAGACTCGAACTCTGTGATGCAGCCAAGGCCTGAGATGCAATTGCAGACGAGTATCGGTTGTGAGTTGTGACTGCTCTTGTCTCGCTGGTCAATTCGACTGTAGTGAGCAGATATGGCGGACAGAAATCGCAATAGGCAATAGGCATCATGGACAAATTGATATGGTGGCTGGCGGCTGCCGCCAATGGTCGTAAGAAGACAGAATGAAAAAATGATCGTGCGGATGAATTAAAGGATGAGCAATTGAATGAATGAATGAAGAGACGGATAAGATATATTAGTGAATGGCTGACTGAGTGAATGAATGAATGAATGAATGAATGAATGAATGAATGAATGAATGAATGAATGAATGAATGAATGAATGAATGAATGAATGAATGAATGAATGAATGAATGAATGAATGAATGAATGTACGGCTTCCATTCCGTTCCTCCCACTGTAGAAAGTAGTCTTGGTCTGATGGTCTGATATGTGCGATTGTCAGTAGCGGCGGAACACCTTCAATTAATCCTCGCCCCGTTGGGGGGGGGGGCAATTTGGCACCCCCTGTGGTTTTCCTGAATAGCAAGAAAACGGCAGCGCGCAGCCCCGCCAAATTTTCAGTACCTTCCCGGGCATCAATTTGACATCTTCACACCAAATTTCAAGTCTTAGGTCACCTTAGGTCAGGAGTTATTGAGGTCAAACTGAGGTCATGTTCGAGCAAAAATGAGCAAAAAACATGCAATATTGAAACGCTCACCAAATCTACAGTTACCAAGCAATTTCAAAGTTCTTTATATGGTCTAGTAGACAAAAAGCGGCGCTACAAAACTGCTATCTCAGATTTTCAAAATTTTGGGGTTTTGCCCCCAAAAATTCAAAAAAAAGTTTTTTAAAAGAAAAACTCAACAAAATAAAAAAAACTTCGAATTTCGAAAAAAACCGGAACATGTGTGATAGTCCCTGCGCTCTTCTATATACATACCAAATTTTAGATCGATATCTCGTTTTTTGACCAAGTTATAGCGAAAAAAACTGTTCAAAAATGATGACGTCAAATTCTAAACTCATTTTTCAGCGATTCTAGACCACGTAGGGCAAAAGAAAGACCACCGTTGAACTCCCCGTGACGAGCAGCATCGAATCGATATCCATTTTATGCAAAAATATCAACTTTGAAATTTGACCCAATTTGACCTGACCTTGACCTGACCTTGACCTGACCTTCACTAGAACATAATCTCAACTGACCCCAAAGGCTGCCTGACCCACATAATCGTAGTTGACATAAATTGGACCATAATACATGCATCACATGATACTTTCATATTATAACCCTCAGTGTCCTGACCTCTGTGACCTGACCTGGTATCAGTGACCTCAAATAGCAAAATATGTGTTTGAAGAACATTTCCCCATCGATGATTTACAATGAAATGCATTTTACTGGATTTTACAACACATTTCTTGAAATGCCTGTAAACAGTGAAAATTCGACCTTTGACCTGACCTGTGACGTCATCAGTTTGACCAAGGTCAATAAAATTGGGTCACAAGGTAGTTCCCTGATAGGGCTATCCAACACCGTTTGCCGCTTGTCGCTAGGTTGCGTGGTTCTCGAGATATTAGGGGGGGGGCAAATTGCCCCCCCCCCCCAACAGGGCGCGTTGCTCGGCAGAGCCCAACGGGGCGCGGGTTAATGGGGGGGGGGGGGCACTGCCGACTTCAGGTCCCATTCTTTCCATGCAACGCCCATAGGGCTAATGTTAAAATGCCAAAATCAAAGGGGGGCACGGTGCCCCGGTGCCTTCGCCGTTCCGCGCCGCCTTTGTCAGCAATCAGCTGTCGACAGAGCAGGCAACATCATACTATAACTTACGGAGCAGGTACTAGCGATTCCAGATTGAGATTGACCAGCAAACTATGTCAGTTAGTTACCGTTCACTTACCGTTCAGAAGGACGATGCTGGATCTTCGTTCCTCGGACGGTGCCATCGTTTCTGCGAGTCTGGTTCGGGCTCTCTTTGAGGGTCGCTCCTGCCAAAAACTCTCCCTCTCACTCATCCGAGGCCCTCCAACGTAAATCACACATCGGCTAGTCGCACAGTGCTAAACAATGCCACATCGGGCAGTGTCAAACAAATAAATTTTGCAGCTTCAGGCTCAGGCGCTCCACCACACCACAACGTTGGCACAACACACGGTAGCCGAGCGATCGGCGTGGCGCCACTGGGCAGCAGAACGCCTGGCGTCGTCGGCGCCGAGCCGTGGCCCGCCTACTGCGCAGTTCCCCAGCGCGCTATCGCCCGCCGCCCTTCCTGCCCCTCCCCTCACTGAAATCCCCTCCCCCACTTTACCCGACCTCTGCCGTCAATACTAGAATTTATCATCTTGGACCATGCCTAGAGGCTAATATGGCAAAATTTCTAGAAAAAAAAAACAGAAAAAGAGCATCTAGAATTTATGTTTATCAGTCATCAATGATCTATCAACAATTGATGGAATGGTAATGGCTATTGCAAATGAGTTGATTTGAACTGAATTTGTTTTAGTAGTTGTTTCCTAACAATAGTTGCTCCAAATATGCCGCAGCTGGGACAAAATAATTGAATACAATTAGGTTCAAATTTGCATGCTTATGCTAGCGTAAGCAAAAATCTTCAAAATATTACGTTTCATTCGTTGAGGGAACAGTGATAATGAAAATTGTGAATACCGCATACCAAAAAGAACTCGAGTTCTTGTCTGTGATTGCACCTTGCCCATTTCTGCCCATTTTGATTTCGTTGTTGAGCGTTGTTTGTGGGAGGAAAACTACTGCCTACTGGAGTAGAAGTATGAGACTGAATTTACACGATTTTCATTAAATAGGAGAAAGTGCACTTATGAGATAGATGAAAACTGTATTATACATGTTTCCTCACTTCAGACTCAGCAGAGTGAACAGAGCAGATTCTGAAATTCTGATTCAGTATTCATTCATGTTGTATTGCATGCAAAGGACCTAAATGACATTGATTTTGGATAATTAAAAGTAAAAGCTATTGAATTTATTGCTTTTCTTGTCAGTTGCCTGCATTTCTTGCCTTGTAATATGTTGTGTGTAATCCATGTTAATCATGTTCCATATTATTTCTACAGAACTCAGAAGAGACATCTTCTAGAAAAATGTCTGGCTTCACCTGGAAGAAGCGGTCTGGTCAGTGCCTGTCGGGTAAACCTAGGCTGGCTGCATTCTCGGCATCTGATGATGAGGCCTCTGGCTCAGACTCCGAGAGTGGTGTGGCCACTATGGCACCCTCTACAGATGCTCCTAGTGACACGCCTATGCAGCAGCCAGCGGCTGCCTGCTCTCGCCCTGCTGCCCATCCTGCTCTGAGTGAGGCTGAACAGTGTGCAGCACTCCGTGAGCAGGGCACTGCTCTGGCTGAGCTGGGCCGCTTCTGGGAGGCGCTCACATTCTGGGACCAGGCGGTCGCGCTGCGACCAAACGACGCCGAGCTGCACGAGATGCGTGCTCAGGCCCTGCTCCAACTGCACGAGCTGCACCCGGCGGCCGAGGCGGCTGCGCGCGCTGCCGCGCTCCGTCCGCGGTGGTCGGCCGCCCAGCAGACCCTGGGACGCACCCTGCTCGGTCTCGGAGAGCTCTCGTTGGCGCGACGCGCCTTCTCTCTGGCGGTACACCTGCAGCCAGATGATGCCGAGCTGCGCACTGACGACCTCCTCTGGACGAGCTGTCTGCTGGAGCGCGCGCGCCGCCGCGGCTGTCTGGGCGCCACCGGCGGTGTGGTGTCAGATGAGCAGACAGACACTCTCCTGAATCTCCTCAGGTGGCCGGCCAGCGCCACCGCCGGCGCCGCGCGCTGCCACGTCGACTGGCAGCCCCTGGCCGAGGACTGGCTGGCAGAGGAGCGGGAAAAGGAGAGAGCGGAGGAGCTCAGAGAGGAGGAGCAGGCGGAGGAGCGCGCGCGCCGGGACGCGGAGGAAGAGGAAAGGCAGCGGAGAGCGGCGGCGCGGAGGGCGCGGAACGGCCCGTGTGGGGACATGAATGTGGATCCAGAGTGACAAAGCCGAAATGAACTGAACATCTCATCAGTGTGTTGTTATTGTGAACAGTTTTCATGCGCCGATAGGAAGCGGAGGCACCAGGGGCCCCTCGGTCGTCCCCTCACGGGCTGTCATCTGGCGGTTTCTTTGGTCGGAGATCGGTTCGTAACCCACCGTGACTCCAATCACATCATCATGTGATCGTTTACGTCTATGGTGATCCGTGCGCCCGATTCGCGTGGCTATCTTGGAGAACGTATCGTCCAGCAGGACGCCAGGACGTCGTCGCCTTTCAGCGCATTCATGAGTGATTGTTCGACAAATGTAAGTGATCATCACCGAACGTAAATACATTTGTAGCCTGTCTACTTCATGCTGCCTCCAATTCGATATCACTAGCCCGTAACATCCCACATCATCGAAATCCATTGCTGTTTTCTTGGTTCCGTCCTGTCAGGGGCTCAGGCATGACTCTGGGTTCCTGAGGAGTCGCAGTTTTCGAACTAAAAGCTCGAAAATTCCGTTTAGGTCTCCGTCAGTAATCCCTTCTTAGTTTGCCAATCATTCACGTCATAAACACAAAAATAATACGCTAGGTGGCAGAGCTACCACTTCGCGGCTAAGCACTGCCCATTTGTATTGTTATTACACGTCCCATACCAACCAACAGAGCATACATCACGACGGTAACAAGTCAAACAAGAGCACGAGGCGCACACGCGGAATGGATCAGAATAAATATGTCACAGCGCCGAAAAACGAATATGCATCTCGCGCTATCCCCAGAGAGGGCCACATGCATTCAACGACGCACTCGATCGTAAACATGGAGCCAAGAACATTCACACAGGCTTGCTCCTTCAGATTGCGAACAATCGAACGTCACATACGTTTATAACATCCCCAAGCGCTGCCGTATACCAAAGGCGACCCTGATAGCTGAGAAAGGCGGTATCTGTTGAGGTACAAAGTAAGCGCGAGAAGTGATATTTTCGATAGATCTACTGACTGACACCAGCCCGTTAGAACGTGCCTGAGAAGCTCACAGGTGCGGGACTCCGCCCCGCAGAGGCTTGTGCTCAAAAGACGGACGGCTACACTATCCCTGCGAAGGGGGTTGTGCTGGCAGGCAGCAGTGAACACTCTGTTCACAGCTAGTACCCCGTACGGGCGACTGAGAAACAGACTCGATAGGCAACCCTTGTTATAGACATCGATATATGACAGAGGGCACAGGGGACGCCCCAACCCCAGCACGTATAAAAATAATGCACTGAAGTACCGCGCCCGGCACGGAGAGACCGGGCTACACAGAAAAATAATAAACGAACTTCGGAAACTTGTCGCATCGACGGTGCTGACGAAAGTAGAAATAGACACTGAAAGCAACGCCCATACTCCCCAATCACGTCCAGTAATCCCCATTTTTGGCAGAAACTCGTCGCAACCTGGCGGCCATCTTGGAGTACCCTGGCGGCATCGCCATCTTGCTTTAGCCAGCCGTTATACAGCTCTGGCTATATGGCCTCATACGCCTCGTCGCCATCACCGGCGCCTCCCTCTAGGAAATCCTCCAGGGCGTCTCGCTCGCGCTGCGCCGGGGTCCGTGCCGGCTCCCGGTCCTTGTGCTTCTTCTTCTTTTTCTTCTCCCCGTTCTGTGAACAGAGAACATGTTTCGATTGGTTAACTTCATGGCCCAGTCAAGAAAAAACAGTAAGCAACTCGTAAATAAGACAAAGTCATGACTGCCATGTGCCAAAAATTTTCGACGCAAGTCGGTTTTAACAGGTAAACGATAAATTGCTCAGCGTAACGAAGAGCCCGACTTAACTATAACTTATGATGACTTAACAAGTCTAGATTAGTGCGAATCGAATATTCTATTTTGATAACACATGAGCCAAACTTCAATGTTCCTAAAACAGCCCGCGTACAATAAATGCACCCGACTGAGAGTGTCTCAACAAACATTGACACATACCGAGCACAAGCGCAGGGGCAACTCAAACTTTCATGAGTTAAACTCATCGTCCGGGAGAGTCAGTATTATCAGCTCTGCAACGGGCAGGATTACGATGTCTGAGGCAATACCCCTGTTTCAATAACGAAAACACAAGCTGCGAAATCGACACCCACCTCTTTGTCCTTCTCCTTATCCTTCTTTTTCTTCTTCTTGCTCTTCACCGCCGCCTCCGCGCCGCTGTCGGGCTCAGCGCGCTGCGTCGGCTCCGGCTCACTCTCTATCGTCGTTACCGATGCCACCGACTCGTCTGGTGTCGGGGAGGCCACGAGCCGCGCGTCGCGCCTCCTCCGGCCCGGAGACTCCACAGTGGCCGCCGGGGGAGGTAGCTCGTCGTCACTGGAGTCGGGCGGCGCGGGCCGGGCGGCCGAGACGCGGGTCGCCGGAGAGGGGAGCAGGTCGAGCTCGTCCAGCTCCTCCTGGAAACCGGCCACCATCGGGTTCCCGCCGCCCGCGTCGTCGTCGTCACTGGAATGGGAGGGTGGCGGGTCTCAGAGACGTACTAACAAAAACGGTAAGAAATATGCTATTTTGAAAGTGTCATTTTCAATCAAGGAACAACGACACATTGATGGTAGAGCATACAATTGAAAAAAGGTATGTAGAACATAGGCCACAATCTGTCATTGACCCTTGGAAGTAAACTTTGTCCGAGTCCACTCTATCACAACGCTACAAAAAAAAAACACAAAAAAAAACACGAGGACGTCAACGCTTACGGTAACCTTTAAGTCAAGAAAAAAAAAATCAACACTTAAGTTTTCAATACTAAATATCGGCATGAAAATGAGACAAGATCGCTTTGTCAGAGTCCACTCTCTCATACTGACCTGTCGGAGTCTGCCCTCTGCTGCGGCTGCTGTTGCCCTCTGACGGGCGTCTGCTGCGGCGTGGTATCGTCCAAAAAGTCGGCGTCCAGCCCGCCATCAGGCACGAAGGCATCCACATTCCGCTTGTCGGGACTGCCGGCTGTATAGGAGGGGGGGGGGGGGGTGAGATGTAATGAACGGCGTGACGTGAACAGCTGCTGACCGGTAGAGTGGCATTCTGGCATAGAGTATGGTGCAAACCAGTCATTCCAATTTCCAAGGAATGCAGGACGAAGCTGTTATTTAGAATATCAAAGCATCGACGCATTGTGAATGATTCCCGTAAATATATGACGTCAAAGTCGACAGAAGAGTTAAATATATCCAGTTAACTCAGAACACCGAAAGGCTGAAGAAGCTTTGGGAACCCCACAGTTCGCCGAAAGGGCACCGGACACTCCTACAGACCTACAGACCTACGAATGACGAATGACGAATGACGAGACCTACAGAGACCCACAAAAAGAGATCTTATACATAGCTCTTCTACATAAGATATCTTTACATTCACCTACCTATGGGCACTCCGTTGGGTGTGGGCGGATGGGACCGGTCTGCGGCCACCTGCTGTGACTGAGACTGAGCTGCTGGAGACTGTGATTGCGACTGTGACTGCTGGGCGGGCTGTAACTGTGGCGAGCCGGTTGGAGCCGCTGATAGCGTACCCGGCTGAGAGGCACTGCGGGGTAGGCTCGCCCCGGCTGCGAACGAAGGGACATACTGGTGGTTAGTTTGGGACGCGATAGGGACTGGTGCCACTCCCGTTATATAAGGAGCTAACACACGCACATCCTCCAATGACCAACACAATCCCATAATCCCGTCGTAAATTGCACGAGCCACGCAAATCAGCACCGAGTGCATAAAGATATAACTTTTCCATTTCACATATTCACGAGTAATACGCAGCAGTTCTAGCTGAGCTCGACGCTACGCCTCCAAGTCTGTTCCACCCATTATCGACATTCGAGTCCAGAGCGGCCCTAACCGTGATACACGTAGTGTACCAAAAATCACGTTCCGGCTCCCATCCGTCCTTGCTCTCCCTCACACCACATATATCGATAATATTTCATCGAACACCCAACTCTGATGCCTTCAATCACCTCCCCCTCCCTCACACGACCCCTCACCGTTGGCGCGTCCCGCCGCGCTGCTCAGTGCTGTCGTAGTCTGTGAGTGGGGAATCTTCTGTGACGGAGCCTGAGAGTCGGCCGTCTGGCGACGACGATTGGTCAGGTGGTCCAGGAATCTGCGCGAAGACCAGAAAGGGAATAGGTGAAAACTCAATGGCGAATGACCAGCGGTGACCGCACCATTTGGTGAGTACGGTAAGGCAGAGCCTAGACGCCAATCATGATAATACTTCTCTCAATGAGCATTTGACGATATTCAAAATTCTCAGAGATAGTGAAATAATTATCGTCAGCGTATATCTAGATCAAGTGGCATCTCTATAAAATAGATGTCAATGCATTTCTTTCTTACATAATACACGCAGTTTACATGCTCGTGGCTCGGTGCGACTGCTCAAACGTAACAGACAACACTGTTGAGTTGAGAGTTCAGTTGTTAAAAGCTGATCGGTCCATCCGACTCACACGTCATAGTTGGCATCCTCCGACTCCTCGTACAGGTCCAGCTCCTGGTGCGTGGCCTCCGTCTCACGCTCATTGGTGGCCAGCTGGGTCAGCAGACACTCGCGCTGCAGCGTCAGGAACGGCACGTTCAGGAACCGGTGCAGCAGCTTCAGACCGAACCCGTTACGCATCGACGACTCGGCGTAACGCACCTGTGCCGCGCCGCCCGTCCTGCAGGGGGGGGGGGGGTCAGGTCAGGTCAGGTCAGATCAGGTCTGGCTGGGATGTTGTGCCACCAATGCTGGGTGGATAACTCTGGAATCACAATTTGCAGCCTAGTACTTCGTAAAAATATTTATATATTTTTCTACCTCTGTTCTCGTCCATCCATTCTCTATGTCCATCCTTCCCTCTTCTCCCTCTCTGCTATGCACTCCTTCCCTACCCATGAACTTTATATCTCCCTCTCTACCAAGTAAGTGTACCCCTCTTCCCTCCCTCCTTCCTCCGTCCGTCCATCCGACCCTCCCTCCCCTCTATCTCCCTCCCCTCCCCCATTTCTCACCGCTCAGCGTGTTCGGCGAAGAAGCGCACATCATCCTCTCGGACCTGTCTATGGTGTCCCATGTCTCGGTGGTTGCCCAGCACCAGCACGGGGATGTGGCCGGGCACGCGCGGCAGCTCGCGCTGCACATACTCGAACGTCCACGCCTTGGTGATGTCGAGCACCATCACCACGCCGTGGGTGCCCTTGTAGACGTCCAGGAACTCGGCGTCCAGCGCGGCTTCTTCGGGCACCGGCGCTGCTGCGCTGCTGTTCTCCAGCTTCAGGCCTGGATGGAATGGTGGGAGGTGTTGGGGTCCAGTGAGACTCTGTGTTATGGCAGCAGATGTCAGGGGTGATGTGCTTGTGAGCTTCCTAAAAAAAACTCGACTGAATCAGACCGGGGATTTGGGTTTACTGTTCAGTGGCAAATCATAGCAGACACACATACTTTTCTTATATTTTATGGTCATTGATGAATGATGACTGATGACTGATGACCTAAACGTGTGCACACTTCAGCAAATATATCTGTCAGCACTTTGAGCAATGGAGCCCGGACATTGCAGAGGTATTGAGCTCAGTCTCACCTTCCATCTTTTTCTTCTTCTTGGCCTTGTCCACGACATCCCAGATCTCCACCTTGACCACATCATCTGTGGCTTTGTAGGACCACTGTATGCTCGCTACCTGGGAAACATGTACAGACAAAACTCAATGGACAGAACATGTGCCAAAGGGTAGGGCAGTACATTATTCTAGAAGTTCATTCAGTGACTACCACAACATGCCAACACCAGGTCAAAATGTTTATGCATACTGATTTTATTTGGTTAACAAAATGTGCCACTTAAATGTGACTGAAATGTGACCAGTGAAGACCAATACCTTGTCACCAATGTGAGCAGTTAATGAGCATTAAAGCTGCTTAAGTAGGTAGATCAGAAAATAAAGTCATGAGATTCCTAGCTGGTGATAGAAGGACCTGAGCATCTAGAGGCAGGCATGCAAGACACCAGCATAGTTTGAGAAGACAACAATAAATCTAGAAAACAGAAGTATCAGACAATACTCAGAGGAATAGAGGGGATAGATAACTTAGGGCTTTGAGATAACACATCAGTACTTATGCAAGCCAAACCAACAATTACACAGAAGACAGGTAAGTGTTCCTGTATAGCTATTTAGATACCCCTTGAATAATCAATAAATTGTTCAGAAATGTACCTGTATCTCTGGTGTTGACTCGTACACCTCACTGAATGGCTTTCCCTGTAGTCTGTTGAAAAGGCATGTCTTACCAACATTGTTGTCACCTTTGATGACTATTTTCACTGTGAATTGAAATGTCATGGTTAATAGGTACATGATAAGAAATCGATTATTACAAATTTAATCCCAGAATTCACATGTTAGGGATATGAGAAAGATGAAACTTTAATGACACCAAAATGATGCTTTTTTACAGCAATCATAGCTAATCATCAGATCATACCTATCCATCAAAAGTGAAATTCGACTCATTTATATGCATCAGCCTATTTAAACTCATGATTTACATACTTTTTAGCAGACAGTTGAATGACAAACACATGTACTTACTATTATACTGGATGCCCCTAGCAAATTTCCTCTGCAGCTGTGATGACATAGCCTGGACATTGCCAGGCACCACTGCTGGTGGGGGCTCATTTTTGCCTGCAAGCTTCTTTAATGCTGAAAACATCTTGAACACCTATCCAAAGATCAAACCTGAAAATGTGCAACAAAATCATTAGGCACCTGAAATGTTAGGTATATGATGAGCTGGTGATTGCCAATTGGTTAGCTTGTATTTTTTGGTAGGAGACTGGCTCAGCTCAACTATTGATATAGCCAATTTAAAAAGCTGTATTTGAATATTAATTCATAAGTCACTTTACTTTACAAAGGTATAGTTCAGGCTGCTTCCTCATTTATCTTAAAAAATATAAGGCATTAATTGCATTATTGAACTGATTAAGCTATGCTTGACCCTGATATCAGGAGCTTGTCCAGATCGGGTCCAACGGGCCTCACAGCCTAAAAATCCTGTTACCATAGGGTAAGGTAGGGTGATTCTTTATTTATCCTTTCCTCCAGCAGTGAGCAGGCCATGGCACCAGTTGCAGGTACATTATTGCTCTTCCTCACCCTCAAACTTTTCCCAGGGTTACGACAGCATTAAGACCCCACCCCTCATCTGATGGCACAGCTGGGATAACAGCGCAAGCCCCAAATGGGACGAGTGGCATAGGAAACTGGGACTGAATCTGAACCTACCAACCAATGCAACTGAGAATGAGATGATACCTTTGCAATCGATGTCACTTACTCAGTAGCATATTCTAAAACATGTTGCTAGGGATGAAATAAAACCCTAGCACTAGTCACCTGTCACTACCACCATTAATTATTCTCACGCACTCAATGCAATTCCAACGTCCTCAATGTGAATGCATCACTAAACTAATAAAGTTTAAATGGTAGGTAACAAAATTACAAATAACGTCTAGGTTGCAAGTCCCGGAAAAATCGGGAAAATTGATGCCGCCCGGACCCCGGTCTTGCTTACCCCAAACGACCCAGATCAAGATCGAGATAATCTTCAGCCAAAGGTGCTTATGCTAACAATGCTCAATATGTTATATGTATGCTTAGAAAATGACGGTAACCATGATAGATGCGGGCAAATGAGTTCTGAAAAAGCACTGTGAAATGGAAACAACACCCAACACATCTACAAACAATAAGCAGCGCCGCCAGGGCCGTATGCGCCGCAAACACAGCGCAAACGAGCGCAAACATATCGTCCCCAGCATAGGTCCCCAGATTTACCCCATGAAAGAATAAATAATTTAGTGGTGTCTTCCTACTAAACGTCTCTCTTGCGTTGAATATGTATGATTCGGTAGCAGGGTTTGGTAGCCATTTCTCTTCACAAAGGGTACAAAATGTAAAGTATTTTAGGTACAGATTATGCTGTCGTAATAGCACAACAAATTACAAAACTTGAAAGTTGAAGCTATCCTTTTATCAGTGACTGGCGCATAGGCGCAGGCATAAGCGTAGCTGCGTAGGAGCAGGAGGCCGGGGGCCATGCCCCTCACTTTTCAACAATTTTTTTAAAGTAAAATATTTATTTTTGAATTTTGATATTTTTGACAAAACTTGCTAATAGGATCAGTGGCGGCGGAAGGTATTCTAGGATAGGGGTGCAAACGATATTGAAGCGCCCCTTCCCGCTGGGCGCCCCTTACCATATACCCATGGATGAAGTACTCCTACACATCAACACCAATATGCCTCCCAGTGAAATGAATTATGAATGTCGCCTTTCGACGCCGGTAGGCGCCCCAGACACCAGTGGATCTGCCGCCTTAAAACACCGATAGGCACCTCAGTGAAGCGAATGCCGGCCTATACCACCGATAAGCGCCCCGGATGAATAAATACCACCCGTCAACGCCGATACTCAGTCAACAACTCAGTGAAATTAATGCCGCCCCAATCTCCGATAGGCGCCCCAGGTGATACATGTCGCCCATCAACACCAACAGGCGCCCCATTGAAATGAATACCGCCCTTCAACACTGGCAGACGCCCCAGTGGAATGAATGCCGCCCCACAATGCCGATGGCCGTCCCTGCACTGGAAAATCAGTTTCGCCCCTATACAGGCGCCCATAGAAGTTTGCAGAGTGCTATTCCTGGTCATAATCATCTCCCCAGTAAAAAAAAAAACGCAAAAACGCCCTAGCACTAGGGGTGTAACCGCCCATACGGACAGTGCAATTTTACAGGCCCCAATCTCGGACCTCCCTTAACATTCATATGTTGTAAACGGCAAACCGCCCCCGATAAATGTTACACAAACTAATTTCCTTTCGCATATCGGCCATCAGGCGCCCCTTTTTGTCGCATGGAGCCTGCAACGCTATAAGCCCTCATATGTTCGTGTTGGCGTTCGGAGGCTATCGCCTTCAAAGACGTCTCCATAAATGTTTCTTTTTCGTCCCACACACAGGCGCCCCTCTTTCGCATGCAGGCGCCCCTCTTCCGCATGGCGCGCTTCTCGAGTGGCTGCGCCCTCCTAGCCTTTATCGCCTGGCAAGATTATATTCGACAGGGTCGGCAGCATCTGCCATCTGCCTTTGTTTCAGATAAGGATGCCCTCCACTCTTCAGCATATCAATAGATACTTTTCCCACGTCATTGCCACCATCTTCGTGTCACAAGTGCCTTTATCAGTTGCGGTGTCGCACTGCTCAGATTTATGGCTGCCGCAGGTCTTAACTTCCTGCCTCCTCTACAGATTTTCGAGGCGCCCCTTTCCATAGCTTTAGGGTGCAGCTGCCCCCCTTGCCCCCCTGCTTCCGCCGCCACTGAATAGGATTATAGGAAATGGTTCAGCCAGGTGAGATGTTCACACAAAACTGCAAATAATTTCTTGAAAGGGGTATGTGGGCTCCCACAAAGTGACATTGAAGTTTCGCTGCCCCCCCCCCTCCCCCCCACCAAAGGCACATTTTTCGTGAGGTTCCTACGCCTGGGCGTAGAAACGGTTGACTTGCAAGTCAACCGTTTCTACTCATGGGCGGCGCACCCACAATGCTTCATGAAGCATTGTGGGTGCGCCGCCCATGAGTGGCTCAGATGAGTGGCTCAGCCCACGAGAGGGAGGGGAAGTGGGTTCCGAGTCGACCCCCAACCGTTCCTGCACCGATGGACCTAAAAGCTTCGCGAAAAGACGTGCTGGCCGTGTCGAGAGGAAGCCTACTGTGTCCATATTTCATGGGAGGGTCATAGGTTATTGGTTGATTGTTCAGTCATCAGTGTTCGTATGGGCAAAATTTGACCTTTAACCCGCGCGGGGCTGGGGTCTCCAGCCGAACGCACGGGGCTGGGGGGGGGGGGTAAATTTTACCCCCTTGTTATCTCCCGAACTAACGGTCAGATTTGGAAAATTCAAACGCCAATCGAAAACTCTCATCACGAACTACTAAAAACATGTACTTAATTTAAAGTTTGAGGTCAAGGTCAAGGTCAGGTCAAGGGTACAAATTGCAAGTTTCTACAGTATCGGCCTTGCACCGTAGTTGCCGAAGAATGGAGTCATGGACTGAGACTGATCGCCCAAAACGTGTTCTTAGGCTACCAAGACAATATTCGTTGCATACAATATCATTCAGAGGTCAAGGTCAAGGTCAGGTCAGGTCAGGTCAGGTCACCAAAAAACAAAATATAGAAAAGGGCATGTGCGACACATGTTTTATGGGTCATTTTACTCATAGAATTCAATAGGCACACTCAATAAGTGATATGGACCACCTCTGGATGAATTTCAGGTCGAGGTCAGGTCAAGGTCAGGTCAAGTGAGGTCAAATTTTGAAGTTGGTTGTTTAGGCCTAAAAAGGTGTCTATCTGATGCAGTTTTTCACGGCGAATCGAATGGTGCTATTTTTGTTTCCGTACGAGGTCTAGAACTTCCAAAAACGTCATTTTTCAAAAAAATTGTGTGTCGTGACGTCATAAAATTTTGAATAACTCCCACATTTTTGAACCGATTCTTCTAAAATTTGGTATGTAGGTGTACATAGACCACTTCTCTGACATATATTCCGTTTTTTTTCGATAGACTCAAAATTTTGGATTTTATAATGATTTTTCCAAAAAAGTCAGTTTTTTGAAGAAAAAAATTTAGGCCAAAATCCAAAATTTTCAAAAAACCGAGATAGCCATTTGATAGACAAAGTAAAATTACGTGTAACCTTTTTGTTACGTCTTGATTCCTTTAAAAATGAAGGAGTTAGCGGCGTTTGAACTTTTGCCGTTTTTGAGGCGAAAATGACGAACATGACGTCACTAAAACGTCAATTTCTCAAACATTTTCCGACGGATTTCGCTCAAATTTTCAGGGAACGTGTCAAATTGATGTGAGAAAAGGTACTGAAAGTTTGGCGGCGCAAAAATTCGCGAGGGGGGGTAAAATTTACCCCCCCAGCCCCGCGCGGGTTAACCCTCGCCGGACCTATTGGTTTTCTACATACGCGCCGGCCGAGGGGGGGGGGGTACGACCCCCCTCGCCGTCTCGCCCCTGGTGGAGCTAGCGCGTCGCGGAAAAAAACGAGCGTGTGCGCCGTTACGAGACGCAATAACCCGATTTGGTCCCGATTTTATTGGTACCCGATTTTAAGGTCCTAGGTCAACCGGTGACCTCTGAGGTCAGGTCAAGTGCCCCAAGGTACGGTTCAGTTTTTGGTGAATAACTTCGCAAAAAAAACGGCCGCAGAGCCGCGATTTTGGCAGCATCGTGCTCGCCTCGCTCAGGCGCGTCGAATGATATACTTTTTTCGGGTCAGGTCAACTTAGGGTGTTGACCTCAGGTTAAGGTCAGGTCAGCACCCCCAGGTCACGAAGTTGGACGAAATAGGTCATGTCGCATATCATTCGATTCAGCAGGTCTTCCTGAGTCCAATGGTGGCTTTCCCGACTGGCTAGCTCAATTTGATCGGGAGTTATTGACGAAAAACTAATATGACCTTTATGACGTCATAAATGACGTCACGCAAGGTCAACATTGCAAAAGTGACGCATCGCCCCCCCCCCCTACGGGGCGCGGGTAACTTGCAAGGAGTGCATCAAATCACGATTCTGTGTGCTTGAGATAGTTGGAGATCGTTCCCGGCGCCAGAATAGTAGTTTTCATTTTTCCCCATTGACTTATAATGGTGAGGTCACGAAAATGACCTGACCTCATATGACCTTTAGGAAAAATCCGAGATATACAAGTTGTGAGACTCATAATGGATACTAGATCCTGCAAGTTTCATTTCCCTGTGACATCTCCTCTGGCAGTGAGGGCGTTGCGAAGTTGCGACATCTGAAGACCGTGCAGAGGTTCACTTATGACGTCATAGGTCAGTGACCTGACCTGACCCAAAAATGCAGTTGGTGTCAAAAGATCCGGCTTGAATCAAAGGTCGAGTATGCGAAGTTTCAGCTCTCTATCGCCAGCGTGTTCGGAGCTATCGCGAAAAAAAAACTCTATGGGGGGGGGGGGCGGCACCCGCCGGCGAGGGTTAATTGACGCGAAAAACACACAGTGAGATTGTTGCGCGCATTCGTTATGTTTCAGGTCATTTTTATCATACGATATGTACCTACGAAGAAGGGATGAAGTCAATGGGCGGAGGTAGGGACTAGGGAGTAGGGATATATACATACATCATATATTTATAACCTTATGTAATAATTGTCATTTTGTCAGACAGCTAATTTGGGTAATTATTGAACTAGCTCCGAACTCTGAATTTCAAATCAAGGGTTACGCCTTATTAAGCACAGCATTGGGCTTGAGGACCTACAAGTGCACTTAGAATCGTAGAGTGTTATGAAGAACGTGGAATATGGCGCAAAACACTTCAGTCATTCCGCTTACGATTTTAAGTACGGAAGAAAAGTGAAATGGAAAATAAGGAATGCATTTTTTTCAGGCCTGATTTTTTTGCATAAAGTAGGGTGCCTAATGCCACTAACCATCAAAGTTTTTTTTTAGAATATATAGATGGGTATAAAATCAGTCGATGCTTTGATTTATTGACCTCTGGAGCCTTCACAATTCTATCGAGTTTTAATCTGTCGACATTTTGGCGAGAAACAGTAAAAGAGATATGTATTTTTTTCGATGTTGTAGGTACTCGAATTAGTCCACAAGCTACGGACTAATTTATCGGCAAATATCGAAATTGGCAAATTTAGTCT